CTTCAAACACTTGAGCCTTGAGCATAAAGCTGCCGAGGAGAGCAGAGCAGGCCAGGGTGATGTAGGAAGCTGCGACAGGTCAGGAAAATGCAGCAGCTGCCAGAACTCCCCGCAGAGCCGGAGAAGTTCCTGACGAGCAGCTGCAGGCTTCCTCTCTAAGAGGGCAGGCGGAGAGGGGGCAGGAAGGAGACACGGCACAGGCTGGGGAGGGACGCTCTGCCGGCTCTTCCCTCGGTGGCACCCCCATGAAGGCCTCTGTGTATCACTGCAGTCAGAAACCGCAGGAATGATACCAGGGAGCTGGGGAGGACACGAGAACCTCGGAGCATTTAACCACTCAGCCCCGTCACACAGGCAGCCACAAAAAAACCACCACAAGAAAATCCACAAGGCAACCAAACCAACGCTGACGGCATCAGACCGGCCGATCCGGCCCCAGGGGCCCCTGCTGTGACCCTGAGCTTGGGTCTGGTCTAACTTCCGCCCCAAGGTGACCCTGCTCTTCGGGAGGCTCCAGCTTGTAGCTAAACAGTCAGAGGTAACTGGTGGCGGCCACCTCTAAACAGAGACAACGGTGGCCCCCGCTAATCAGAGTTAACAGTGGGGCCACTACTAACGCCCAAGTAAATCCTGACTAACCTCCTGACTGAACACACCTCACAGGCTGGCGAGCCTCAGGTCACTACTGTTTCAAGGGACTGAAGCCCAAACGCCACGCTGACCGTGCGACTCTTCAGGGCTGGGCCCAGAGTAAGGCGCTCAGCCAAGTGTTTTGACTCGAAGGTTTGCATCTCATGGCTGATGTCTCACCAGGTGGCCTCCTCCTGGGCGTCTACAGGAACCTGCAAGGTCTGGGCTGAACGACACCACATGGGCATCAGTACAGGCAGGCGGGTGAAGGGCAAAGAGCCAGCTGGGACCAGGGGCTCCATCCTCACCCCACCGCCGGGCCTCATCGGAAACACAGGAAGGGCCCAGAGAGCTGCTGGAGATCCAGCAGGATGGGCCTTGTCTGGACCAAACACGGCTCCCTGCAGCTGCGGCCTGAGTCAGCCTGTCTCAGCCTGGGCGGACGGGCGAGAGGTGGCTCAGGGGGAGACTCGGAACAGCCACCTCGTATGTTCCAGCCCCTCAGGCCTGTGCTCCGTCACTGTCGCCAATGACTCCCTCTTTTGTACTATGTCCCAGACACCATGCTAGATCCTTGGGTTACAGAAAGGGGCAAAAAAAAAAAAACCAGACCAAGCTCCTTGCCCCGTGGGGCTTACAGTCTAGCAACAGCAAAGAGACAAGGGAAATGTGTAAATGCTGTTGGCTGTTAGGGTGGCAGGAGCAGGGCACAGTGATCACTGAGGGCTGAGTAGGGCAGGCAGGCCCGGAAGCGGCCAGCATCGGTGGAGGAGGAGACTCGAGCCTAGGGGAGGTGAGGCGCCCTCAGCTTCCTGCCTGGTGCTCACACCTGGCCCACCACTTCTCCTTGTCCTCTGGGCACACTGGCACAGGCCTGTCAACTTTCCTCAGAGCAGGCTCTGAGCCCAGAACCCCATAGACACGGGGGGAATGTCTTCACGAAGTCTCTGCGGGCAGGGCAGGGTCCCCTCCTGAATGCCAGAGAACGCTGTTCGGGGACTTCTGTGCTCTGGGCAAGCCGGGAGGGGATAGACGAGGACTAGCCTAACAGGCCTAACAGGGCTGCGCCTGGGGAGCTGTCGATCTCCAGACAACTGCCAGGAGCCCTGCTCTGCATGTGCCATCTGAGGGACCCGGCCAGCACCCCAGCGTGAGACACCTTAAACATGCCGACTTCCTGGGGAGGAAAGCTGAGGTTAAGAAGCCGGAATCTGGAAACTGGCCGCCCAGGTCCAGGGCAGACACCACGAGGGCACGGTGCCCGACCCACATTTGAACAGGGCTCTGAGGACCACAGGGACGGACTCCGGTCCTTACCTGCTCCACCCTGGCCCCCCTGGCAGCACTGACCCTGTCGTGGCAAGGAGCAGGCAGAGGCCCCAAAATGGGCAGTGGCCCCCTTCCCGGAAGAGGATGTTCACTTTTGAGTTCACACAGGCTTCCTCAAAATGCCCCGTCTACTATCTGTCCTGGGCCCTAAGGCCACCCCTGCACTCTCAGCGTTCTCAGAGTCTGGCCCAAACTGAAGAAAAGTCTAAGATTCTCCCAGCAAAACCCATTTTCCACATGCCCTCCTCACCTGGTGAGCTTCCTTCCCTGGGGACCCAAGTGAGGCCCAGGTTTCCTGTCACCTCTGGCTGGGCTCTGTTCTCTCAGGCAAACCAAGACCAATTCGCAAAGCTGCTGGCCTCTGGCCTCCTCGGGGACTGGCGGGGACAGCCGGGTTCTGCGCTGGGAGACAGACCCACCTGGACTCACCTGCGCACCATCAGAACGCCTGCAAGGCATGCCATGCTCTTCACACTGCTCCCTTCAAAGTTACCACTTTCCTCCCCACTTAAAGGGCTGCTGAACTGTCTAAAGGATTGCACGGCAAATTAGTAATAAAACCCACCCCAACAACAAAACCCAAAAGAGCAAAGTTCTGGGCCCTGCGCTCCAAGCCCTTCCTGTGCCTGCTGCCCCTCTTGCCTGAGTCGGACCAGGAGGCAGCGAGCGCCTCACAGACATGCCCCCTGGCATCCCCGGTGCTGCTCACGGAGCCACACGAGCTCCACTGATCCCGCGGTCACCAAGCATCACTCACTAAGCAAGAACTGCTGGGAGAGGGTATTCCAGGGACGGTTTCCATGGCAATGGTAACTTGTTCATACTGCACAGAGGGAATTTTTTTTTTTAAACATCATCTTCTCTAGGTTTTTGTATTCCGTTTGTCCTTTAGAGCATGAAGTTCCAGGAAGGTGAAAAGGACCTGCTCTGTTGTTAGGTCGCGAGGCATTCACCCCGCCGCCCTTCCCTGATCCCTGACTCGGGCCCACCGGTGTGGCCTCCCCCCAGCACAGGGCTCTTCTGCCAAGCCCCCCTTCTTCTCCTGGCCTCCTCAGGAGCCTCAGGGCTCGGCGCTGGTCCTCTCCTCTGCGCCTCTTACTGGCTGAGGGCTCCTGGGGTCTTCCCCCCAGTCACCACCTATACCTAAAGGTACCTCAAACTGTGTCCACACCTGCTCTCTCACCCCTAAACTTTACTACAACTGGCCCCGTTTCACGGACAGCAACCCTGTACTTTCTGCTGCTCTGGCCAAAAAAAAAAAAAAAAAAAAAGGGACAAGCATTCTGGCTCTTTCTCACCCACTTCCAATCCAAGAGCAAATGGACTCATTTCAAAACAGCCCCAGAACCCAACCCATGTCTCACCAGGACAGCATCCCCTCTTCCCTCACTACTGCCAACAGCCTGCGAGTGGCTTTGCTGGCCTCTCCTTGCTTCCAGCAGTGAACCTGAAACACCGCTGCCAGAACAAGCGTCTGAAAGCCTGAGGCCATTCTCCTTCCATTTGAAACCCTACTCCCCATCTCCCATCTCAGAGTAGACACACTGGCGTGGCCTCCGTGGCCCAGGTGGGCATTCTGAGCCCCCACCACTCTGCTCCAGCACACAGGGTGCACTCTGGCCCCAGCCAGACACGGACTCGGGTGCCTCCCTTGCAGCCACGTCTCAGCTAAAGCACCGCATCCCCGCCCATCACCCATTTAACATGGTGCCACTCAAACCCCGGGACCTCTGGATGCCTCACCCTGCACTGACTGTTTTCACGCCATTGACCCCTTTGTTCTGTACTAGACACTTAATTACTGTTTACTGCCTGCTGCCCTATTAGGACATAAACTTAAAAGAGGTCAGGGATGCACCCCGAACACCTACACCACCTCCCTGCCCATGTAGACGTAAGCACTGATGACCTTGTGTCCAGACTGTCATATCTGGACCACCACAGACAAGCCCAGAACCCACAGCCACCAATGTCACAGCATTCCCAGGAGACTGGTACGTCAGACTGACCGATGACCTCAGTACCCCCTCTGCGTAATCATGTACCAGCTGGGAAAAGGCTGTGGGTCTAATTCATGCCCTGAATCACAATGGACAAGAGAGGAAAATTACATACTTCTTGGAGAACAGACCCAGAGCAGCCAAGGCCTGGCATCTCTCCGCGCAGGGGCGCATGTGACTCCTGAGGGTGAGGCCGACAGCCAAGCCTTACTCCCGTCCGGCTCTGGTCGCCACATGGGCAATCTTCTCCCTTCAGCGCCTTTGGGGAAAGAAGATGCTAGAAATGACAAAATATTAGGATCCACAACAAGGAAAAAGTGGCCTAGCCTTCACATGCTTTCCATTTGCTTTTGTTCAAGGTGGCGGTGGAGGCAAAAGCATACTTTTAGTCACTGCCTTAATCTGGGTCTTAAATAGAGCATCAGGAGACAAAGCAAGATTTTACTGAGAAAAAGTGAATTTTTAATTATCTTGTGAATCTACTTAGAAAAACACACAAGCAATGTTCACAACTATAAATTTAAACCTTTTGCACTAAAAAAAAAACACGAAACATCAAACACAAAACCACAGGCATGAACTGTAAACCTGTATTAATTATCAACTAGTCTTAAAAGTTAATTCTTAGTCGTAGTTCAATATTTTCCTCCTTGGCAATTTTAATGTTTTAGCACCAAATAATCTCCCACAGAGGTACTCATAAAAACTCTGGTTGCCAGTGTAAGGAGGTGCTTCTGCAGCACTACACGCACGCACACCGCCCACGCTCACCCCCGCAGACAGGAGGCCCGTGGAGACGGGCGTCACACGCGGACTTCAGGGCAATGGAAAGAAGACAGGGCACACGGGTCACACGTCTTTAATGTAGTGCATTCGTAGAAAAAAGGCCAGCTCTCGCTCCCAGGCGTGCGCTCGTCCTTACACTTTAATGTCATGATTTAGAAGATGCAGACGTTATTGCCTAAATATTATTCTATACATTTCCATCAGTGTTCAGGAAAACACTTTAAACTGCTACTTAATTTACACCATAATTAGGGGTTACAGCTTTAGCTCATTGGCAATTTTGGAAGCGATATTTTTGAAAGCTATGGACGTCCCTGATATCCGCTTAAATCGGACCCCGTTCAGAGACAGTCTTGGCAGCTTGCACACCTCCATCTCCCACTGCACGAGGTTCTCCGCGTGCCCATCGCCGTGCACACAGAAGAGTAAGAAGCGCTCTCTCTGCTCATAGTCGCAGTTATTGGCATCCAGCACTTTGCGGATTTCCCGCATCATGTCATTGGGATCCATGGAACTAGTGGTTTTCATGCTCCAGGTGAAGCGCAGGGAACGAGGCTTTGCTTCTTTGTTTTCCTCCTTTTGCTCAGCAGACACGTTGCGACTGAAATGCACAGTGGCAGGTTTATTCTTAATGGCACAGGAAACCCCACCTTCTCTACTCTAGCTAGCTCAGTGCAGCGTAATAAACGACTCCTGGGTCGTTCCTGCAGAGGTTCACCGTTGGTAATCAGTTCCTTCTCTAAGAAGCATTCATCTATCCATTCTCCCACCCCATCATAAGCCAAGACACAAAAAAATCTACCTGGCTGAAAAACCTTCACCAGTCATCTGGTGAAAATTAAGAAAATAATTTGTTAAACAGAATCCTTGGGAGTCAGGCAATGTAGAGAGCGATCTGAGCACATCTCCAAGAGCCCAGCCCTTGTCATCCACGCTGGCTGCAGGCAGCAAGGCCTACCACAGCCCTTCAAAGGCCCAGCTCGTGGAGGTGGCGTTAGCACGCCAGCCTCCAGTTTTGCCCCGCCTGGCTGCTTTTCCTACCGGTTTTTAAATATTCAATTCATCATAACCTCCACTCTCACTGTTGTTCAGGATAATCAGTGACGACGGACTTTAAAGTCACTTTCCCCGTCAATGGCCACAGCTGTTGAACAGAGCCGGGTGGCAGGTGGGCCACTCTCTCAGATCCCTACAAAAACCTTAAGTGCTTTTCCTTCTATTCTGTTCATTTAAACCTCTCAAACATCACAGTTAAAAATAACTCTTACTACTGAAACGGGAAGTGGCATGCTGAGACTTCTCTGCTGCTGAGCACTAAAATGGCTGGTCTGAATGCAGACTGGACACACTCTCAGAGCGCAGGCTGCGGTCCCAGGCGTGGCCCTCTGAGGAACGCCAACAGGCACCTACTGGGTCTGCTCTGCAGCATCCCATCATTACTGCCAGGAGCCGCTACTTACAGCCTCCTGTGTGTTTCTGGAGGTCTCAATTAGGACGGTGAATACCTAACACTCTGATCTTTAAAACCTCCCAGTGTATATATGTTAATACACTCAATCCTTTGGCAAATTCATCAGCGCTAAGGGTGGGCCATGGGTTTTACTATGTGCATAGCTCTCCCTGTCATCCACCTGCTAGCAGAATACACAGTTTGGTTCACATCTACCAAAACTGTTTGAAAGCTTCCTAAGTATAAAGTGCTGTTAAATATGACATAGGTTATTTAAAAAAAGCAAACGCACTCAGAGCCGGGGTCAGGGGAGGAGACTAAACCCCAGGGCCACAGCCAAAGCACAGGTGAAGCGCGGGTGGTCTGCTCGGGTCACAGAGAGGCGGAGCCCGCCTCTCGGGAGGACTGAGAGAGAAGGGACAAGGAGGGCAGGGGTGGGGAGCAGCAACTGAGGAGAGCTATGAAGAGCCCAGGGGCTTTCAACAACATGATGGAGGCGGCTTAAGCCTGCCTGCTGAGCAGAGGAAATCTAACGAAGGCAAGGAGGTACAGAAGCACAGAATGTGTACCAAGCCCCTGACCCTCAGCACACCAGGAGGAAGGCTCTGTCCCTCCGCCTCTGACTGTGGCTGAGAAACAAACTCGGGGCAGCCAGACCTGCTCCAGGCCAGGCTGGGGTTGCCTCCTGGCTCTTGCCCCAAACTTCTGCTAGGCTGAGGAGGTTGTGTGTGGGGGAACCTGGAGCTGCTGAGACCACACAGGACCTCGTGTGGACATGCTCGATCAGGCGAGGGGGCCATTGCAGGCTTTCACTCAGGGAAGTCATATGACCAGAGTTGTGCCTCAGGAAGAGAGTAGATGCACTAACAAGGACCCGAAACAGCACAATGGTGACCAGTATAAAAAAGGGCCCATGTGGAAGAAATCTAGAGTCCTGAGCCCATCTGGTCACTCTCTCCACAGCCAAATCCATGCAGTGACAGCTAAACAAAACTTAAAAGCAAAACACTCAGATCACATAATCATTCTTTTTTCATTTTTTTGGCTCCACTGCATGGCTTGTGGGATCTTAGTTCCCCGAACAGGGACTGAATTCAGGCTGTTGGCAGTGAAAGTTCAGAGTCCTAACCACTGGACCTCCTGGGAATGCCCCACATAATCATTTTACACATATATAAAAAAAAGACATTTAATTTGAAATGTGAAAATTCTCCTAGGGAACTCCCTGGAGGTCCAGTGGTTAGGACTCGGTACTTCTACTGCTGGGGCCAGGGCTGGAGTTCAATCCCTGTTCTGGGAACTCAGATCCCACAAGACACGTTGCAAGGCCAAAAAAGGAAAGAAAAGAAAAGACATTCTCCTAAATATTCTGCTTTCCTTCCTTGAGACTAGAACTAGGCCAGGAGTCTTCACATGTCAACGGTGCAGCTGCAGACTCCCAAACCTCAGGAGAGTGCAGGCAGGAGGAATGGCACTTTTAACACCCAAACACTAGCATGAACCCGGATGGGGATGGGTGGTGTGCAGGCAGCGGCGACACTGTAGCGCCCTCGCGTGGCTGCCGGGCGCCAGCAGCACACACGCTTCCTGACCACAGACTGCTGCCCGCCCTAAGCAACCCCACGTGGAGCAAGGATATGACGCAGAATGTTCGAAAAGTGTTGCCTCTGCCACAGAAATGAAGTAAATACCTATGAAATATTTTAAGTAAAAATCATTTCCCTCACCTGGAGCCCTCATATCTCCCGTTCCTCTCATATTCAGTTGGAAGCCTCAATGAATAGAATGCAGAAGCACAGAGAAGTGGGAAAGAGAAAAGAAATCTTACACACCAGTACACGACCAACCCAAATATAAAGACATTATAAAACGAACCCAAAGCACTTTCTGGTCACCTGTTGAGCTCATTACAACTCTTACTCTTGCAGGTGTGACTCAGCCAAAAACCATCTGTGTGCCCACGAAGGCCGTGCAGGAGGCAGGCCGCACATCTGCTTCACACACAGCAGGTATTCCTGCCCAGTTCTGGAATCTGTGCACGTGCATGGCTTTCGACTGCAGTTACTCTGACTTTTTAATCACTCCCCAAAGTATGTGCTTAGTCACTCAGTCATGTCCGACTCTCTGTGACCCTATGAACAGTAGCCCACCAGGCTCCTCTGTCCATGGGATTCTCCAGGCAAGAATACTGGAGTGGGTTGCCATTTCCGTCTCCAGCCCCTAAGTACAGCGGGTTTCCAATTAAATCATCACAGAGTGGAAAAAAGGAAGGAAGAAGGCACTCTTCCTGTGGTTTCTGACAAAGAGCTTCCGTGAATAAAGCCTCTCTGTGACCCACTTATGGCATTGCAGGTAAACCCATGGCCTGGCCTCTGGGGAGCTGAGAGGCGCGGGCATGACAAGGCTGCAGTGGCCACTTTCCCCTGAAGGGCGTGTGTCCTGAGAGTGTGAGCAATGCCCCTGGTCTCTTGACTGTCACATCACAAAATATCCACCTAGTAAGAGTAATATTTACTGCAATAAGATATACTTTCTTCAGAGGTTGGTGGAAAGTGCCTTTTAGATACAATACTATTTACTCTTCAACTCTTAGCCTTTCCCAAATGCAATCCTCCATGAAATTAAAAAAAGAAAACAAAAACAAAAACACAATTACCACTTACCTTTTGCATGCCTGGGGCTAATCATTAATTGCATATTGTTACTGAACATCTCATTCTTCAAACAGAAGCATGCTAAGTGTTATTAGTATGAAGACAGAATTATTTGGAGGCTAAACAATTCTACCAAAGGAAGAAAATGCACAGAGCATGCGTAGGCCTCTTGTTACATGGGTGCAACAGTCCCTTTTAAGATGCCTGACAGAGTTAATCTCTTTCTCTTCAATTTCCTTTCAAAGAAATAAGTATTTAGTTCTCAGCAGAAAGTTTAGTTTTCAACAGGGCTACAAAGCCAAACCTGATGTTAATTGCAGGAGCCATTTCGGGGTGAGCATTGAAAAAAAAATGTGTATATATAAATCCTACCTTTTGATAAACCTGAATGACATGTTTCTAAAAGAAATTAAGCCAAAAAAAAAAAATTAACAAAAATGACTTGCATAAGTTAAATAGTTATTACAGATAAAATAAAACCAGCAAGTAAAACAGGGCTCCTCTCCTGCCCAGTGAACAATGAAAACAGTGACATCTGATGAAAAAGTAAAATTATCACAAATAACTGAGTATGTGTCTTTTAAATAGAAATGTAAAAAAATCTGTACTAATAAGAAAAAATTTAGCAGTAAATATTGACAGTATCTACAGTTAAATTTTTTAAGGTTTTTCAGATGGGTACACCTTAAGATAATAAAATTCAACACCTTGTATTAAAGAAAAGCCATTTTCAATGTACTAGAAATAAAGTAACATTTTTTAAAATAATATTTCTCAATTTTCTTCAAAATATCTTTGAACAAAAAATATCACCTTATACAGAGACATTAAAAATTTCATTATAAAATGTTTATCCATGAAGAGAATCAATACTTACTAAAGTGGCTCGATATAAATCACTTTTTAAGGAGAGCGGAAAAAAAAAGTCATTGGAGATTTTTTTTTTCCCTTCCAGTTTTGATATAATTGACATACAGCACTGTAATACGTTCCTGGGAGTTTAAAATGAAGTAGACTTTTTAAAGCTTTCATACCAAAATGATAGAAAAATAAATGACATTGGGGGTTTCATTTTTAAGTAATACATTGAAAGAGTTCTATTTAAAAGAACTGACTCTGCTTATTAAAAAATTTAAGGAAATGTTTAGGCTGTACTGAATTGAATTTGACAAAAGAAACTTCCAACTATGGCTCAGGTCTGTGTGATGACACGATAAGCATTCCTGGGTGAGTGTGTCCTGGGCTTGTCAAACTACTGACACTTCTGAATCTCAGTTCTGTGACAGCACAGAAGTACCCATGAGTATTTTGCTGAGTGACTGAATTAACAGTTTTCTTTTTGTTCTTTTATTTTTCTCTAATTTGGGATGACTTTGGCACTGCTTCAGATACCTACCAATCTGAAAAGTATATAACTACTGGAGATAACCATTCCATACTCAGATCAAGAGTAGTACACCTTGGAATACACACAGTAGAAAAGATGCCTGTGAAATTGATTAAAAGGTCTTTAAGACCTAGTTTCATTTCCGATTTTTCTACCTGAGGAAAGTTAAGGGGACTGCTCAGGAGTCACAGGACCGACGTTAACTTGTCCTCCCACAAAGCCCTTGAGGGACGAAGAGGACGCCGCCTCGGGAGCACGGGCCTGCGCGTCACCCAGGCTGTCCTGCCTGCAGAGGACGGGCTCTCTAGGGCACTCACACCACCCAGTGCAGCCAGGCGCAGGCGGCGAGCTCGGACACCAGTCCTTGTTCTGCCACCCCCCGGCAGGTCTCCCCTGCGGCACTCAAGTGGCAACACCTGAGCCTTCTGGGCATTCGCTTTGATCAGCACCATAACCAGGGGAGGCTAAGAAGATGCTGCTGGAGCAGCAAGGACTCCGCCTGCCTTTAAGAATGAACTGACAACAACAGAAGCACAGCGCCGTGGCAGGCTACAGGACCGCTCGCAAACTCACAGAGAGAGGACTTCCTGAAAAACCTGGGGGAAGACGACCCTCTCTAGGATATTTTTAACAAGGAACCCCAGCCTTCAATTTCAATTCAAATACATAAAATAAACAATTAGGGACACTATGTAGTGGGGATTAAGGGCCCCTCCTGGAACCATGGACCTGACTCAGCACTCTTCTCCCATAGGATCTTGAACACGTGCCTTATTCTCTCTGAATCTTATCTCCAGTTTCTTCTATAGAACTGGGATAATGTACACTCCACAGGGTAGACTGTGGAGATTCAATGTGTGTGTGAGGGAGAATGTATGTATGCATACGTAGGTATATAAAACAAGTATCTCCATATCAATAAATGTACAGACATCTATTTGTTAGCACATAGTAAGCATTTGATGTATTGTGGCTGATATTACTTTTATCAGTGATAGAATTCAGAAGACAAAAGAAAAAGAACACAAAGGAGACAAATAAATGCAAGGACTTTAATGATGTGCAAGGCTTTATTTAAAGAGCCCATCTGAGACCAAAGCCCAAGGACACAAAGCTGCTCATCCTGTGACAGGAGCTTAGACAGACCTGACTGCCACACCCCGCCTCTGCGCTCAGGGACCAGAAGGCAAAATACCAGTTGATACTAAGCAGCCTAGTCTCCAAGGAATGAGCTAAGGCACAGGGAGGCTTGGGAGAGCCCCTGGAATGACCCTGAAAGGAGGCAATGCATTATTCTGGGGTCATCAGACTCTCCTTGGGTTGAACTCACTGTCTCTCCTGTGGTCACAAATGGGTGACCCGAACCTGGCAAGGCCCCTTGGACCACTCTGCTCTTTAGCCCATCCTGGAATGGGAGGTCTCAGCAAAAGGGCTAAGAAGAGAAGAGGAGGGTAGACCAGAAACTTTTTACTCCTCTGATCTCTAGTCAATTGCCAGTGGGTATCAGAAGTCCTCCTTAATCTGGTATTCAACATCCTGACAATGAAGAGATAATCTGGGAAAAGATAGCTTAATGTGACTTGTCTGAATTATTTTTTATTTTTGATGTGGACCATTTTTAAAGTCTTCACTGAATTGGTTACTATGTTTTTGTCTCACAATTTGTGTTTTTGGCCCTGAGGCATGTGGGGTCTTAGTTCCCCAACCAGGGATTGACCTCTCACCCCCTGCATTGGAAGGTAAAGTCTTAAATCACTGGACTGGCAGGGAAGTCCTGTTTTGTCTAAGTTTTAGATGGTTGATTTAAAACAACATTACTGGAGGCATTAAGGAGACTGCCAAGTGATACCCAGCTTAACAGTTAAGTAACACAGATGGAATGGAACACATCAGCAGGATAATGCACCACAGGGAGTGTGGAGAAATGAGGAGGAGTGAGGAGGGCATCTATTCTTCCAGACTCTGGGAAGGCCCCATCACTGTCCTGTGAGGGTCTCTAAGAGGCACATCTGCAGAACACCTGGAGAAGAGACTACTGCACAGAGAGGCTCAAGTACAAAGAACTTCCTCCAGGTACCCCGGAACTGCAGGGGCTTGGAGGCTTCCTGCGAGTGGTCCTGACTAAAGATGCCTTCGCTTACTTGCTAACAGTGTACAGTGGTACCTTGTCTCTTTCCTCTTGTAGCAGCCAATGATTCTAGGCTTAGCAACCTCTAGACCAGATTCTGCAAGTAAAGTACCTTAGAGATTTCCCAAGGCCCCAGCTGACAGTCAACGGGACAAACAAAAGATTTTATACATCACCAGATACTAGCTTCTTCCTGGGAATAAAGCAGGGATTTTATCTCCAAAACTACACAATATAAGAATGCTATCTGTTCCCATTATACCTTAGGTCGACAGAGAGAAGAATGTCAAGATTTAAGCTGCAAGAAGTGCAGTGCTCCTCCATGACCCTGGAATGAAACGAGAGGAGAGGCACCATGTCCCTCCTGTGTGTCTACGGGTGGTCACACCACACAGTCCTCCTCAGTGGCAGCTTGCAGGGTACCAGCCACTGGACACCACCACATCTGGGGTCTTGCTAAACTGCAGTGCACACACCATGTGGAGAAGTGTACGACTAACAGAAACGGTAATTAAGGAACAACAATTTCCCAAGCACTAGAGAACTTTCAGTGTTGTGAAAGCACTCGGGGCTCTATAATTTCTCTTCTAAAAGGTTTCAGAAGTACAGAGTGAGATATACAAACCAGAAAAATGTGAGCTAAAGACAGAATGAAAAGCATCTGTGCAGTGGCTTCACATAATGGGGGGGGAAAACACTTCTCCTTTTGCCCTTATGTTTGCTCCAATCAACCTGGCACTTACCTCCTTGTGAGTTTGGAAGTTAATTTACTAAAAAGATTAGTGGAGCCTCGGCTTCGAGTCTGCGACAACGGTGTGGCTTCGTGGGACAGGCTGGGTGAGGCAGGTGGGCCGTTGTACGTGGCAGTGCGCCGCTCCCGGGGCTGACCGTGGAAAGTGCTACGGCTGGCAGTGCCTCTTGGGAATCGGGTTCGATCTGGGGTGGTGGTGCTGCTAATACTGTGTGTTGAAGCAACCGGAGCTCTCTGGTCAGGAACGGTGCTAGGAGATCAGCAAACGACAGATTCTTAGAACTTTGTTCACAAAATCCTGGCTTTGTAGCAAACATGGCACACAAACATTTATAATCATAATATACCTTTGATATAGAGTAGAGATAACCAGTATATAAATCCAGATCCAAGGGGTATTTTATAGGACTTAAGAGCAAAAGGTAAGTTAAACGGCAAAGGGTACCAAAGGAATAGTACACAGTGAAACAACACCTTATGGAGTTGAAGGGAACAATACATACATATTTTCAAGGACAAGATTAATGCAAGGAAATTCTAGAACAAAGAACAGCTAACTCAAGCTTCTTTTCCTTTGCGTCCCTCTCAAATTGCTTACATGCAGAGAACCCTGCCAATACAAAAAAAACAAAGGCTATGCAGGTGAAACTGAAGAATAGGCAACTAAAAAGTTTCGGAAGCACAAAAATGGCATAAATATTGTAAAATTCCACATGCTGAAAGCAACTTGGAGAGAAAGGGGAATTTCTTACATCCTTTATAGTATGAAGATGCATGAAGATACAAAGATGACCAGGGACACCATGAGACAGGATGCGCTGAACTAAAACCACACACAGGAAGGACACTTTGTGGACAACTGGAACAAAACCTTAGACTATAATATCCACAGCACAAAATTAAGAAGCAGTGGGTACACATTAGTTTCACAAGGAATGTGCATTTTTCTTACATAGCCTTGAAGTTATCTCCTTCACTGTCTATTGGAGGTAACATCATCTTGGGGTGCCCAGAGGCTGACATGGACATCGACTTCTGATGTCTCAGCCGACAGGTGGAAGATGTCTTACAAACAGAGGCAGGGCTAGCTGCGTAAGCGAACATTTCTGTCAGGCTGGGAGGGGGTTTGGGTTCAGGCAGAGGCAGAAACAACAGTATGATGGACCAGTGACAAAAAGAGCAACCTGTTGTTCAAAGCACATTACCTTCCTCCCCAAACCATCTCATTTCTGTCAAAGAACAAAAATCTCTTAAACTCGTTTTGGGGATTCTGGAGTAATTGCTAATCTGTATCTGCTTTTTAAAAACCAGTAATTTTTTAAAGTTTATTAGCTTTAAAGAAAAGAAAGTAACACTGTACATGTTTGAATATTTATGTGAGAGTGATGAAGATCTCCGAGCTGTGTGTAAAATAAAGCTTCTCTTAAAAGATGTCTCCATTCAAATCAAAGCGAATCTGTAATACATACGCTGTGCTCTCAACCTGTTCCCAAAGCACAGTGTCATACATTAAATGGACTAGAAAAATTACGGCTATAGTAGTAACTAGTTGTACTTATCAAAGTATCCTATGTTATCAAACCATTCCTACTCAAAGCACACTGACTTCTTTATAAAAAACAATTGCAATTCTTAAGAGGTCAACAAAGCCCCCTTTTTTCAAGGTGGGAAAACTAATAAGAGCAAATTAACTGTTTTTATAGACAGAGAAAGAGTGACACAGTGACCACACACCTGCAGTTTCACCTGGCACAGCTAGCTACAGGACACAGCGACCTAGGGCTTTTCTCATTCTTAATGCCAGCTCAGCCATCATGTCCATGGAACTTCAAAGGGAACAGTTAAGGATAATCAGGGATTTAGAATTCTGACCACACTCTTTCAGTGTCTCTCTGCAGAAATCCTCTCAAAGCCTGAAACCCAGAAACCATCAGGTTTATTCCTTCACGCCTGACATACACAGCAGCTGGATCATCCTGTTGGTGTCACAACCCCTCACAGCACTTCACTGGGCCCCACGCCTCCACACCCGAGGGTCTCTGGGCAGAACTTCATCTCTCTTCCAAGCCCAGACCTCAGCCACCTGTCTTCATTGTTCTCCAAACTCACACTTTCCAGTCGGTCCACCATACAGCTATGAACTTCCTAAAACACACACCTGACTTCGTCCTTGTCGCTTATCTCCTTTTAACCTTGCAAAAGCACATGGCATCTTCAGGATAAAGTTCAGACTCCTCACTCTGGTACCCGAGCCGCATCCTCAGGCGCCCGTCTGGCTGCGCCCCTGCCACCTCTTCAGGCTTGACCTTCCACTGTCACTTCCCGGAAATTGACTTTCTGGCCCATCTGATGACCTGCCGTCTCTTGGTCATGCATCAGGTCAAAGAACTTTTGCAGGAGCTAGTCTCTGTGTCTGGAGAGCTGACATCTTTCTCTTTTCATCAGAACTTCACATCTGAGGTTATCCCCTCCATGAAGGCTTCACCAGTGCCCTCCTCACCCAGAGTTAGTCCTTTCCCTCTGTGTATTCAGTGACGGCACCCGCTATGCACACCCCACTGTACTGCAGTGACTCCTGTCTGATTGTGTGCTCTGGAAACACGGCCTGCAGCCTCAATGTGACCCCACATTGTATGTGCAAGACTATGTGGACAGTTACTTTGCAGTCAGCAGTATGCCTCAGATAGAGCAGGTGCTTAAGAATATTCAATAACTGAAAAGGCACGTTAATAAGGTGAGCCACTGGAATTCCAGCAGGCCCAATATGAAGGAGACAGGTCTGTATAATAAACTACTCAAGAAGATCTGCTTGCCCCTCTATCTTTGACAATCCTGCCCTCTGACTTGGGTGAGTGTGACTTTAATACAGTCACAGAACTGTACAATCACCTTATGAAGATAAAAATGGATTTACTTTTTTGTTTCTGACATTTTTTTTTTTCCCTTTGGCAGCTGAATTCTGTTTTGGGAGAAATAGGTTCTTGGTCTCCATCTCCCCATGTCACTGACTCCCCACTGGATTTTCCCACTATCCTGGCCAGTGACAGATTTAGAGATGGGCAGGCCACAGCCAAACCAACAGCGCCCCAGGGCTTCTGCGTGAGCAGAGCTGAGTGTGGGACGACATCAAGGCTGATGTCACTGAGCCCACCAAGCAACTCCCGCAGAAGCAGCAGAACCAAACCCTGACTCTATCCCTGGACTTTTTCAGTTACAAGAATTCACAGATGCCCTTTAATTTAAATTTGTTTGGACTGATTTTCTGTCACCCCAACACAGAGTCTTAAATGATTCAACTATTTGAAGAAAGGCTTTGTTGTTTTCAACATGCACATACAGACATAAGTACAAATAGAAACATACACTTTTACTTTACTAAGTTACAGATAAATAACTTTACCAGCTGAGCCACCAGGGAAGTCCTACAGAAAAATGCAACTGTCCTTTGTGCTCTATTATCTGTTCAGAGCAGGTCAAGGGTCAACATGCTTTATTCCCCTGCCCAGCAGCTGACATTCTCTTGCCCAAATTAGGACCTAGGATCAGTAAGTGCATTAAAAAAAAAGCAGGGGAAGAAGAGGTGGTAGGGGTTACCTGGCATGTTCCCTGGAGAATATATAATGGTCCCAAAGACTCAGATGAGGAAATGGCTTTTAGTCAGAATCCTGAACAGGGAGAGGCTCAGTCTATTCGCCCTGAGCTATCCCCCTGGCTGGAGGGCGCAGGCAAGACTATGTGAACAGGTACTTTGCAGCAAAAAACTGACCCTCCTTAGAGTCAGAGACCCTTTTAAAAAGGAAGTGCAAATTGATATATTCATCATAAATTATTCAATTTTTCCCATAATCTTACAAGCAATGAAAAGAATTATATCTCTAGAAATTTAATCATGTCATATCACGAGTTCCAAAAAGGAAGCACAAAACAGATTTTTTTTTTTTAAACTCTCAAAGCAGGCCTCAATTTAGGAATCAGTAAACTCAAGAAATGTTTGTGGAATTTCATGTTTGTACCAACTCACAAAAGTTCTATTTACAACAAACAATCCCAACTCACAATGGGCTGCATCAAGTTGGTTGTTGTGAAAGCTGGACAAAATTTTTTCCTCAGAAATGTGGCAAATAGGACGGTTATACTCCACAGACTATCCCACAAAAATTTACACAAACAAAACAGTGGTTGCACCATATTTTTAGCAATTCTGGGTCCAAGGAAAAAAACCATTATTTAAACCTTAACTTAAAGAAATAGCACTGTTTCTTAAAATTCAAATTGTGTGATGTTCCTATTGATCTTTTGACTTTATATCTAAATATGTCTGCTATAACTTTTATTCTGTATTGGAACATTCCAATATGAAACATTTTGGCTGCTGATGCAAAGCATACTCAGTGATTGGGCAAAAGCAGAATTAAAAACATAATCCAAAGATACATGTGTTAACTGTGACAAAACCTTTTTTGTTCACCTAATTTTTATTAGCCGTGATCATTCTTATGTTGGAATTCTGTAACAACACTCACATATTTAAGAAAAAAGTCGAACATACTAAAGGCTAAAATAGGAATTCATGTCTTTCTTCCAGAAGTTAACATAGATCCAGGCATCCTGTACCTCACTAGTATTTTAGTCAAAGAATAAGATATATGTGTGTGTGTGTGTGTGTGTGTATCTATAGGAGAGGAAAAAGCAACAATCTGCCAAAGAAGTCATCTGTGCACAGAGAAGGCTCTGTGAATAATTTATCACTCAAGCATCTATTTTAAGGGTGAAAAAGTAATCACATTTAATGTCTTCCTTAACTGAAAGTAAAAAAAAAAATATGACCACTAGTTTGGCACTCAAACCTCCAATATTTTTCCATACTTTTTCAATTCATTTATAAGATACAAAAACAAAATCCAGGTATTATTAAAGTTATGGGCCCCGTTTTGTGTGGCAGGAGGCTGTTTAAAGATAAAGACAATACTTTCAGAAGGAGAGCACTTAAATAACTGATGCCAACAGAGCAACGAGGCCCAGGTGGGGATAAAGAGGGGGCAGCCCCACTGAGGAAGGTATCTGCAGGTAGAAACCAGGTAATGACTCCAAAGAAATCAAGAGCATTCTTAAAACTGTTTCTAAAGAGTGGACTGTGTGGCCGCAGGAGAGGAGAACCAGAGGAGCTACGCACACAAGACACAAACCGAGGGAGCGGAGAGATGGCGGTCTGAACAGCCTTGCAAAGAAAAGTCTGACTCTGTACCTCAGAGAACCGTATATTCTAAAGTTCAAGAGGAATCTGAGAGAACAGTTCAACAATTTAGAAGAATTTTTAAAAAACAACAGTCATGAAAACAACATTCTTCTCGTTCTACAGATTAAAATTCTTAACAGAAAAAAAAAAATAAATAAAAATAAAATTCTTAACAGAAATGTCTGGGAACTCCCTGGTGATCCAGGGGTTAGGCCTCGGCGCTTTCACTGCAGGGACCCAGGATCAATCCCTGGTCAGGGAACTAAGAATTAAGATCCTGTGGAGCCAAAAGAAAAAGAAAGAAACTTCTAATTAAGTCTTCTATTGGTGTCTCCTACTCAGTCACCTGAACTACAAGCAATTTGATATATTTGAGAAAGCAATTGCAATAAAAGAAAATTTACCAAAGAACAGACTACTATTAAAAAAATAAACATACCAATCATTAATCTCTAAGTTATCTAGCCCAGTGGCTCTACTCACGTTATTAGGAGAGAACAAGCATAGACAAGATTCAAAGACAGAATACCAAGATGTAAATATTTCTAAAAAGTCACTGAAAAAAAATGAATGAATGTAATCTCACAAAACAAGCTTTTCCCTTCATGTCAATTCAAACGTAAGTGGTCTGTGGAATGACAAAATAGTCTGGTTTAAAGGATGAAAAATGATAGAATTTTTGTTTATAGGTTGTTATAGAAGTTAGTGATCATACATTTCATTTGACTGGTGAGATCTAAGGAAACAGAAACTTTACAGTGTAATTTCAGAAAGTAAATGTCAGAAAAAGAAGAAAAACAATTTTGATGCTACACATAACAATGTGCTATGACCAAATAATGTTCAAGTTGAGAGGCCAGGGGACAATGAAAGATGATGTGAATTTATTTTATGGATATCTATTTCACGTTACCTCACGTTACCTCATCATTCTGAATTTAGTTTTATACTACTCTTCCAAAACAAAAGAAGGAAAACCAGGCCCATTTGAGAAATATTTTCTATACAGAATATATTTAACTACTCTACCAAGCCAACTTTTTCTTCTCTTTTCTCTCTATCCAAACTGAACTCTACTGTATGGTTTCTGGATCTACTTAATCCCACTTTTCTAGTTTTTATTTTGAAACCCCTAGAAAGGGGTCTGTATGATCTGACTCCTTACTGATATATTACTGTTAGTATTTAAAAATCATGCTTATGCAATGTAAGATTTCCTCTCTACCAGATTAAAATCATTGAGAAGACTGAACTCTCCATTTCTCTGGATATTCAAGTGTGTCTCTTTTAAGGTGAAGACCACTTTTAAAGTGTTTTGTCTGTCCGGCCCCCTAGCACACTGCTGACCTATAACTGACGGCCCACCCACCCCATCTGGGGCTCCACGTCCCTGAGGCATGGCTCCCTGTCTCAGGTCATCATCCTTCCCCGCTTCCAGTCTTGGTTCAAGATATTCACGTGCACAAAGCAATCTCCATTTCCCTGTTCATAATTCTACAATTAAAGCATAGCTTACCACCTATTTCATCTGGGAAAGCTCTCTGGTTTAACTCAACCCTTCCAATCATCACACCCAGCTGGCTAAGAGAATAAGCTCTGGACCAGGAGAGGAATTTGGAATTCTAGGATCTCACCAGAACTGCATTTAAATTTAACTTACCATTAGAGAATACTTACCACTATTATTTGAATTTTGATTATAAAAATTAAGAAGTAAATATCATCCTTCCATTTCTTTTGGGAAAAACACATTTTCTTGCAAACAGGTAAAATTTCATACCTGTTTTCTTTGCCATTCTGAATTACTGAATGTCTATCAGCTGTGGTTCTTTCACTGCAAACATAAGTATTCCGTCGCGTCATTCCACCAGATGCCGTATTACTCTATTAAAAAAAAAAGGGCATTTTGGTCTTAAACAATTTAGTAAGTATAATACAGCAGGGAAAAAAAAAAATCCCATGTAAATAAACATGAGTACTTAGTCTTTAAATAAACCTGAATTATTAACGGGCTTCCCAGGTGGCTCAGTGGTAAAGAATCCACGTGCCAATGCAGGAGATGCAGGTTTGAGAAGGCCCCCTGGAGCAGGAAACGGCACCCACCCCAGTGTTCTTGCCTGGGGAAGCCCACGGACAGAGGGGCCTCAAGGGCTACAGTCCACGGGGCCACAAAAGAGCCGGACACGACTTAGCCACTAAAGAACAGCAAAGTGTTAACAGCACTGGGCACTAGATCAGAAAAGAAGACGAAGGCAGCAACCTCTACCCTCTTTCCTACCTTCCATTATTTCTGCAACAATGAAAAATGGCTATGGCAAAGTGACTCTGAAAAGCTGGCTACAATAATCTGTAAAGTAATATAACTCATGGATTATTTAAAATGAAGCAGGAAGACAGAGAAATTCACTTTTTAAAAGGTAGTCATTTCAAACTGAAACATTAAAAAGCAAGGATTATAAGGTAAATATACAAATGAAACAAAAATAAAAAAATATCAGAATTAAAACTGCAAAACTATTAGCAAAAAACCAAAAAATAAATATAACAGATAAATCTGCATAATCTTGGATTTGACAAGAGATTCTGATGTGTCACACACAGGGCAAAGGACAGAATAGACATTTTTCCAACGAAGGCATACTAATGGCCAATAAACGTATGAAAGATGCTTAATATCACTGGTCATTTAGCAAATGCAAATCAAATCCACAATGAGATACCACTTCACACCCACTAGGAGAGCTACAATTAAAAAAAACACAAAAACTAGAAACTAACAAATGGGGCAAGAGTGTGGAGAAACAAGGACGTGACTGTGTGAGGATGTGAAGGAGCGCAGCTGCGGTGCACACGCTGGTACACAAACGCTGACAGCCGCCAAAGGGGAGGAGCACCTTAAATGTCCCTCGGCAGACAGGGAGATAAACTGCGGCATATAAAAAGGAATCAATTCGTCCAACAACTTGGATGAAACTTGAAAATATGGTGAGTGAAAGAAGTCAGACACAAAAGGCTATGTAAGTGCACTTACATGAAATGTCCAAAAGAGGCAAATCTGCTGGGAGAGAACGAGGTTAGCGGCCGCAGGGGCTGGAGAAGGGAGGACTGGGGAGGAACTTCTTCATGAACACAGGGCGCTCTGTGGTGTTTGGGAACTAGAGAGGCAGAGGCTGCACATGCACTAGATGTGCTGAATAAATGCTTCAAATGGTTAACTGTATGTACGTGAACTTTACGTGAACTTCACATCCGTTTTGAAAAGTTAATATTTTCAAAATTTTAAAAAAAAGAGGAGAAACAAAAGTCACATCACAACTTTTATCAGATAATTTTAAGAAAAGATTAAAAGCAGCCACCTTTACCACAGCATGAGCAGGTCACATATAAGGAAACTCTGAAGACAAATGGGAGAAAATTAAAGCAACATACTTTTTTCCTTTATAAATAAATATGAGTGGCTAATAATGCTTGGGGTATATTTTCAAAAGGGGGATGTGCTGATGAGTAGAGCCAAGGAACAGAAGTTATGAAGGCAAGGAACAAGTTTCTTTAAGGCTGGATTTAAACTGCAGGGCTATGGAATGACGACTGAAGTCGAAATAAAAAGCCTTTCCACACAGCGCTTATTCTGAAGAAGCAGAAGGTCAGCGGACAGAGCAGACAAGACTCTTCGGGCTCCTGTGTAAGCCCTTCCCCAGAACAGGACAAGGGAGCTGTGCCTTGACAAAGTGCCGCCTCCTGACTCTGGGGTTTCCTTAGGGTTGAAGGAGGCTGTCACTGTTAACTTTCAGGGAAAATGTGATTACAGAATATCCTTAAAATTGTTCCTTCTCTGCAAATTCTTATCAAAATCACTTTTGGGGTCTTCCAATTATAAAATAAATAAGTCATGGGGATGCAATATACAGCATGGTGACTATAGTTAGTAATACTGTATTGTATATTTGGAAGTTGCTAAGAGAGTAAACCTAAGAAGTTCTCATCACAAGTAAAAAAAATTCTGTACAGTGCTAAGAAGAGTGATTATTTTTTTAGCTCAGAGAGAACACATTTCAATCCATGAAAAGTTTCTGAAACTGAACAGATTCAATGTAACAAACACTACCTACTCTCTAGGGAGATTTTGTTAAGCGCAGGAATTAGGAGATTTAGGTCAGTAGTATAATTTTGGACAATTACCTAACTTTTCTTCAATTTCTTCACCTTAAGATTTAGCTGATACATGGAAAAGCACTCGGCAGGGTCCCTGGCACAAGGTTAGGACTCACTCAATGTTCTGTATTGATAGAGCCCTTTGACATGCTGGGCAAACACCATGTTCCTGCCTTGCAGTTAGTCAGGCTATGACCACCTGTCTGCACTGTCACCACTGGTTTTATTTATTTTCTGTCAGACTATGCGGTCTTTCCATCTCTCAGACGTTTTTGGAGTAACTAGAAACAGCCCTTGACATGAAGGATCTCATCCAGTGGGATGGAGTGCAATAAGAAACATCAGCAACAGAGCTAGCGATCCCAACAGGGTGACAACGTACACAGGGGCCCAGGGGGCAGGGCTTTGTAGGCAGATAAGAACAGAGGAGCAAAATACTGTGTCATTTCAATCCTACAATCCTAGGCAGGCTCTATAGCGCAACAACTTACACTAGGGACAGTGGAGCTCTTCTTCCGTTCAGGGATATCCGCCTTGTTGGGGTTACTTGCGTTCCCAAGCATGGGACTGGCTGGAGCAATCCCCTTTCCTCCAACAACACTGGCGCCTGGTTTCCGGGAGGGAACTCCGTCTTCTTTGAGGTCACTGTCTGTAGTGCTGGTCTGACTCCTTTTTGGATATGCCACAACTGAAGGAATAGCTGGTCCAGCTAAAATAAAGAATTCACTTTTTAAAAGTCAGAATATTTTATATTCTGAGTATTTTTAAAGTTTTATATTTTACCTTATGAAAAAAAACTTTATAAGATGATCCAAGATTTCTATTCATCTAATATGAAACAGTGAAAGATTCCTATTCACGTATGCTTTCCCTATGCAATGAATTCAATTTTAAAATTTTACTTACTAGTCCCCAACTTTCTAAAAGTTTTTTTTTTTTAAATTAGTAAGCTTATATAGTTGTCTTGAGACATCTTCACAAGGTGTTCCTGGACAGATAAGTATTTACACACATCATGCAGAATAACTGCTTCACCTGGTACATCTGAGTGAATCTCATCCTTTTTGTACAAGAGATGCCTTCACCTTTTGGAAAAGAACAGTACAGATTTACAGGCCATTTCTTTTGACACTTTATCTTGCATCTTTTTTAAAGCACTCATACTCTTCTAGATAAACAGGAATCTGAGTAGATGAGGAAAGGCAGTACAAGCAGAGGAAAGCATGTTCTTCACACAAGTGACTGAGAGGACATGGGGGGCGGGGTGCTGCAGCTCACATCTGCTCCCAGGAGGATGCTCACGGACATCCTGGGCGGCAAATAACTGATATCTTGTAAGAAATCATCTAGAGACTGTGATGACACAGGAGATCTGGAGTTCAAAGAATTTTGGAAATGAACAAGATAACTTGCATGTTCATTATATACAACGTCCAGTGGTAATCTTAAGAAACAGCACCAAATGCTCAACATTTATGTTGAGAAAAGATTTTATATACTTGGGTCTATTAAAAAAATGGATGGAAGGGGAAGGGAGGGACTATGAGTTTGAGTCGTAGTCCTATGACTATACATACAGAATGGGTAAAAACAAGGTCTTACTGACATAAATCACAGCAGGATCCTCTATGACCCACATCCCAGAATTTTAGAAACAAAAGCAAAATAAACAAATGGGACCTAATGAAATTTAAAAGCTTTTGCACAACAAAGGAAACTATAAGCAAGGTGAAAAGACAGCTCTCAGAATGGGAGAAAATAATAGCAAACGAAGCAACAGACAAAGGATTAATCTCAAAAAATATACAAGCAACTCCTCCAGCTCAACTCCAGAAAAATAAATGACCCAATCAAAAAATGGGCCAAAGAACTAAACAGACATTTCTCCAAGGAAGACATACAGATGGCTAAAAAACACATGAAAAGATGCTCAACATCACTCATTATCAGAGAAATGCAAATCAAAACCACAATGAGGTACCATTACACGCCAGTCAGGATGGCTGCTATCCAAAAGTCTACAAGCAATAAATGCTGGAGAGGGTGTGGAGAAAGGGAACCCTCTTACACTGTTGGTGGGAATGCAAATTAGTACAGCCACTATGGAAAACAGTGTGGAGATTTCTTAAAAAGCTGGAAATAGAACTGCCATATGACCCAGCAATCCCACTTCTGGGCATACACACTGAGGAAACCAGATCTGAAAGAGACACGTGCACCCCAATGTTCATCGCAGCACTGTTTATAATAGCCAGGACATGGAAGCAACCTAGATGCCCATGAGCAGACAAATGGATGAGGAAGCTGTGGTACATATACACCATGGAATATTACTCAGCCATTAAAAAGAATTCATTTGAATCAGTTCTAATGAGATGGATGAAACTGGAGCCCATTATACAGAGCGAAGTAAGCCAGAAAGATAAAGACCATTACAGTATACTAACACATATTTATGAAATTTAGAAAGATGGTAACGATAACCCTATATGCAAAACAGAAAAAGAGACTCCGATGTATAGAACAGACTTGTGGACTCTGTGGGAGAAGGCGAGGGTGGGATGTTTCAAGAGAACAGCATCGAAACATGTATCTTATCTAGGGTGAAACAGATCACCAGCCCAGGCTGGATGCATGAGACAAGTGCTCGGGCCTGGTGCACTGGGAAGACCCAGAGGGATCGGGTGGAGAGGGAGGTGGGAGGGGGGACTGGGATGGGGAATACATGTAAATCCATGGCTAATTCATTTCAATGTATGACAAAAACCACTGCAATGATGTAAAGTAATTAGCCTCCAACTAATAAAAATAAATGGGAAAAAAACACACACACAAAAAACAAGGTCTTACTGTATAGCACAGTGAACTATATTCAATATCTTGAGATAAACCATAATGGAAAAGAGTACAAAAAAGAGTGTATATTTATGTATAATTGAGTCACTCTGCTGTATAGCAGAAATTAACACAACACTGCAAATCAACTATATTTCAATAGAAAAATACATCAATAAAAAAATAGGATGAAGTGGGGTACAGAAAAGCTACCTCTTGGACAATAATCTAAATGGTAAACCCAGAGAATTCCCTGGTGGTCCAGTGGTTAGGACACTGCACTTTCACTGCCAAGGACTCGGGCTCTATTCCTGGGTGGGGAACTAAGATCCCGCAAGACACTCAGTGTGACCAATAAATAATAACTATATAAACAGTAAATCTATTTGGAAAGGAATTAAAAATGAACAGAGATTTGATTTCATTTATGGGACGAGAACAATTAAGCTCCCAGTTTGGCAATTTTAACATATAAAACAAAGAATCAGCCAAATGTAGGATGATGCTACCCTTAACACTTAGTTTTTATTCTATCATGATACATCCAATGATATTCTAAAACTATATCAATTTGTTTTGAACATCTATTATTTTGATTAAGAGGATAATTTTTTTCCTTCATTTTAGGATTTGAGCTTGTGCGTGGAGACAGCTGTTGATACAGCCCACTGACCTCATTCCTTCCGACCGCTCCAGTTTCACTTGCACTGTGTGCAATGTATTCAGTCCTACACACTTTAATCACGTGTACAGATTCATGTGCTCACCCTCCGGCAAGACACAGAACAGTTCTGCCTCAAGGATTTTGAGGGTGACCCTTCACAGCCACCTCTCTTGCACAAGTCCCTTTCCTAAATCCTGGCCCATCTGTTCTCACCTCTGTAATTCCCTCATTTCAAGAATGTTATGTGAACAGTCAATGTAACCTTCTGAGATTGTTTTCCCCTACTCAGTATAACTCTCCCAAGATCCATTTAAATTGTTGTATTTATCAACAATCTGCTCCTTTTCATTGCTGAGGAGTGTTCCATGGTGTGTTCCATATCACACAAAAAAGTGACTCTTCTTTTTTATCTTTTAGGGGTGGAGGGGGGTGTACTGTGCAGCTTTCCAGATCTTAGCTCCCTAACCAGGAACTGAATCTGGGCCATGAAAATGCCTAGAGTCTTAACTAACCACTGGACCACCAGGGAATTCCCCCAAATATGACTTTTATGTAGTCAAATTTGTTAAGTCTTTTTTTTTGTGGCTTTTAGTGTTTGGGGCCATAGTTAAAAAGACCTTAACAAGTCCAAATTACAAAGAAATTATCTCATTTTTTTCTTTTAACATTTTTCTGATTTGTTTATTTATTTGCATCTTTATTTCAATTGGAATCCAACCTTGTATAGGATGTGAGAAATGGATGCAGTTTTTTCTGATCACTACCAACTACCCCAATACCATTTATTAATAGAATAGTGAGGTTTCAGCCTTTTTTTAAAAAAAATAAAAGAATCCCTTACAAATCTGATGAAGAGCTCCCTTCGGAAGAAAAAATATACACACATAGCAGCAGGGTGGGGGGGGTGTTCACACGTGGGACCCAAATGAAGAAACACAAACAAAAGTTGTTACAATTTTACAGAAGCAGACATCTGTAAGTCAGTGGCATTGAGAGCTAGAGGACCACAGGAGAGATGAGGGTGGGAGACTGAGCTATGGCTGGACTGGCCACAGTCTTGTCTGCTGCACCTGGCACCAAGTGGATGTGCTTTACTAGACCCCAGTTCTTGGAACCCAGCTCATTCTTAGCACTAATATGAACAGTGCCAGGGGCATAATCAATTCTTCTTTCATTGCTGACCACTATCTTCATCCCCAAAAAGAGTAAAAAAAAAGAATGTGGAATTGGGCCTGTGATCTACATTTCAGAATTTCCTGAAATGTTCCTTTGTGAATTTCTTTTTAGTATTAAAGGCTCCAAGAAGGCAGGATGATTATTACTATAAAAGCACTACTACAAGAGGCAATGGGTGGATTAGTGGACTGAGCCCCTAAACCAGGGACCAGGAGTGCTGGATTCTGTCTCAAGCACTTCCACTTCCATTTAACCCCAGAAGACCTGGTGAGCAATCTTGACCTATTTCTTTATTGCCAATACGGGGGTTTGGTGATCTCTTTTTAGCTCTACAATCTTCTGAGCTGGGAAAAAGGGCATTACTAATCCAGACAGATTCTGCTTAAGGAAGAATGAACTTACTAAGACAGTTATTAGGGACATGAGAAAACTAATACCAGGTTTCTTCCAGGATTTAGGAACAATTCCCTTTAAACTGGTTGATTCAGAGCAACACGTAGGCATTTTGCTAACTGCTCTGTATGTAGCACACAGAAAAACCCTTCCTTGCTAGCAAACTAATAAGAACACAAAAGACTGAGACCCAGATCAACACTTGCTTTACAAATGCCATCTGTAAAATTTTGGCATCAGATAGGCTCTGAGCGCTCAGTTACACCCTGGAAAACAGCAGATGTGCAGACATCTTACTGACAGCGTCAGTACTGTGCTGCTTCAGCCTAAAACACACAGAGGCATTGGCAGCAGGAAGAGAAATGGAAACCAAGCAAAGGGTCATCACTTTTGGTACAAAACCGAAGCTGTAGACACCTGGAATACTCTGTACAGTTCTAAGCACCAACTCTCAAGGTGGAAGAAAACAGGAGGACAAAGTCCAGGGAAGGGAAGTGACCTGAACAAAGAAATTAAAGAGGATTCCACGTTCCAAGTCAGGACTAGGCCAACATAAATTTGTGCACTGGAATTAAAGGAATTAACACGTGAATAAATGCACATCTGCTAGAGTCTCTGGATTACAACAAACGGGGCTGCCTTGAAGCCAAAATAATTGTCACGTTTGGTAAGCATCCTTTTGGGTCCTACGTCTCGTGGAAGATTCACTCTATGGTGAAAATGTAAGAGTGAGGTGTTCAGACACATGGACAGTTAAGAGTGTGGGTCGAGAATGACATGAGTAAAAAATTTAAACCAATTAAGGCAAAACTGGTGTACTATACATTTTTCAGGGCTGTGCTGTCCATTGTGGTAGCCACTGGCTACACGTGGCTTTATAAATTCAACAAAACTGAAAATCACCTTCTCAGTTCAAGTGCTTGACAAAGTCCCATGTGGCTCAGGTTTCTACCCAGCCAGGCCTTAGTCAACCCAAGACTACTGGGTGTACCAAGGAGATCAGAGCCTGCAGCGCCTGCAGGACTGCTTTGCAAGAAATGCTAAGAAGGGCAATCAAGCAACTTTAACCCCAGGAGGCCATAAGCAAAAGGATGCCTGGCAATGTCAGGAGGCCTCTTGGTTAACGGGAGGCTTGGAACACGCTGGAATGATCTCAAACTTACTTACCATGGTCACTGTAACGCCTCTGCTTCTGGCTTGAAGAGACACTTCTCTGCACTTTGTGGTGAGGAGACTGGCCAGTACTGTTGTTGAGGTCACTGCTTGGCCTAACCTTAGCAAGTGAAAGATTGCTGCTAGAACTGGAATCACTAGCATCCAGCTAAGAGAAAATGAGAAAAACAGAGCAAACCACAACACGAGCCCAAATGGTTTATCATGAAACTAAACTTCTCATAATACACAAACCTCTTACAAACTGTTCATTTAGGGAGAAAAACCACAGTGTACAAAAAACACAAGCCTAAACTCAGGCAAAAGTATTTTTCTGACTACTGGAAAAATTCACACAAGAATAGATATTTATGTTCTTCTAGGCTTTTTCAAAAAACTAAAAATTCTCTATTTCATCTGATACTTTGCACCATTTAAAAACTATTACTGACTACACAGGTTAACAAAAGCCAAGTTATTAAAGGTTATTATCTTAAAGCTAAAATAGTAACTCATAATAGTCACAGGAGTTAGATCAGTCATTTGAAGGTAAATTTAAAAATATTATCAATGTTATACACACTAAAAAACCCCAAAACTAATTATTACATGAGCTAATAATTCGCAAAAAGGATATTATACGTTTTTATCTGGTTATTCTTACCTCTGAAGATTTTCTCCCCAACAATAAATATGTAGCTGTGATTTCATCATATTTCATCTTACTAAGAGATTCTTGAATTTCTTCTTGTGTATATCCCATTCCCACCATAATATCTAAAAGAAGGACATAATACAGTTTACGGGTTTCCTTTGGTTAAGAAATCATTACATTACAGCGTAAACTAATTTCCTTTATTTGACCGAAAAGATCACACATTGTTCTAACATAGATAGGCAGCTGGCTTATTTCTGAGTTACTGAGTACTATTACTGGGCCTGCAGATAACTTCCTAAATATGACAAAACATATTAGCTGCTTCACGTAACTTAACTTATCCCCATTATTATTCCTGTTTTGTAGGGTTGTGTCCAACTCTTGCAATCCCATGGACTGTAGCCCACCAGGCTCCTCTGTCCATGGGATTTTCTAGGCAGGAATAGTGGAGCAATTTGCCATTTCCTTCTCCAGGGGATCTTCCCAATCCAGGGACTGAACCTGGGTCTCCCGCACTGCAGGCAGATTCTTTACCGACTCAGCTACCAGGGAAGCCCATTCCCGTTTTAGGTGTATACATATAAATGAAGGGACAAGTATGTTACTTGCACACACACCAGCATGCAGGCACAGAGTAATTACCTATTCTTTTCTGGTCTGAGATGTCCAGTTCTGGTTCAACAAATGGTTTCAGCTCATCATCCTCATGTCCTGCATTGATCCACCTGTCCTTCATGATTTGCTGAAAGGTGAACTGTGTCGTTAGCAGTATAAATGAAGCATTCTGATAATCACAGTATTTAGGGAAATTTATTCTCAACATTTTATCAATTATGGTTCAAAGGATAACTTTTTAAAAATGTCTCAATCTTGCTTAAAAAAAACCCAAAAAACCCAGGATAGTATTCAATACGTCATACAAATTAAGCAAAATTCTAAAAATACTTTCAAAGACTCTCCAAAGTTGTTCTTCATTTCCACTTATGTTATTACCTCTAGAGTGCCTCGTTTTATTGGATTTAGCACCAGGAAACGTTTGAGAAGGTTTTCACAGTCTGTGGACATGTAGAAAGGGATTCTGTATTTCCCTCTTAATACTCGCTCTCTCAGTTCCTTTGGGGAGGTAGAGAGGAAAGAAAACTACTAAGTCAACTTTTAGGTTAAAAAAGAACCCAACTCCCCCACTGAAACAACACTGACACGTTAACTCTGATCATTTGATAAAATCCTTTAAGCTTTCTGAAGAACAAGGATGCAACTGCTTCATATACCTTTAGGTTCTGCCCATCAAAGGGGAGCGACCCGCTGACTAGAGTGTAAAGAATGACGCCGAGGCTCCACACGTCCACTTCCGGCCCGTCGTATTTCTTGCCCTGGAAGAGCTCTGGGGCCGCATATGGAGGACTGCCACAAAACGTATCCAGTTTACTGCCAACAGTAAATTCATTGCTAAAACCAAAGTCAGCTATTTTAATGTTCATATCAGCATCTAACAATAGATTTTCAGCCTAGAGGGAAAACATCAAGACAAAAATGAAATTTAACAAAAAAATATAATGAACTGTGATAGAATTAGGCATTTCATAAAAGCTTTTTGTAATGATATAAACTTATATCCTAATGAGTAAGAAAACATTCTTTCTAGAGAGAAAAAAAAAGGAGATAATTCAGAAGACTTAATGTTCTGGCATTAACAACCAATAAGAGGTGTAAGATGCAGTGGTCCCTCGGTCTCTGAGGGCACCGGCTCGGACCCCGTGGACACCATCCTCCACCATCATATAAAACAGTCCAGTCAGCCAGCCTTCCTAAGACACAGATGGAGAACCTGGGGGATATGGGGGCCCAAGTGTATAGATCAATTCCAGCACCAATTTAAACAGCAAATGTTCATGACAAAACAGTATTGGAAGAGCTTTTTCAGCTAAGAATAAGGGGCTTTTAAAAAACATATCCTTCTAAGTACCCTTTTAAGTGGACAGTCACATTTCACAAACACTGCTAAATAAGGTGTTTAATGGCTATTACTGAGAAGAGGGGCATCCTAAACTTCATTTAAGACAGAGATCACAGTCATGACTGCTTGTCTTAACAGACATTTTATCACATGGCAATCATACACCAGGTGTTCTGTTAGTGTCTGGATGCACAGACAGACAGGGTCCCGCCCTCAGAAAGCTCACAGTTTACAGAGGGGAGGAAAAACCTGCAGCTATACTCTGGGACCTCAGTACCGTGACCGAGAAGAGAGGAGTGGTGGGCCCGGCACTGAAAGGTATGGTCTGGCTCCCTAACTGGATGGAACTGAAAGCACTGCGAGGATTAGGTGACGGCAGTGGGTGGGTCAACAAGAGGGATTTCAAGCAGAATAACAGTCTGAAAACCCAGAGGGTGAGAGAGAACACGGTTTGCTCAAGAAACTGAAAGGCAGCGTACGGTAGAGAGGACTAGAGGGCTGGGGACATGCTATGGCTGAATTAAAAATGGCAAGTTGAGCGATTTGTATTCAGGAAGTTTAGCTTTTTATACTAAGGGCAATGGGAAGCCACTGAAGAGTCATTCAAGCAGGGAAATGACAAGTTTTATTTGTGTGTGTGTGATTTTTTAAAAAACATTTATTTACTTATTTGGTTGTACTGGGTCTTAGTTGCAGCATGTGGGATCTAGTTCCCCAACCAGGGATCAAACCTGGGCCCCCAATGCAGGGGGCCCAGAGTCTTAGCCACTGGACCTCTAGGGAAGTCCCATGACAATTTTATTTGTGTTTTTAAAGGACCATTCTGGTTGCAATGTAGGAAACAGACATGGAAGAAAAGAGGCAAAATTGGAAGCAGGGAGGACCAGGCAAGAGGCTAGTGTAGTAATCCGGTCCCAGATGCCAGTGGACTGGAAATGGACAATGCGAGTGGGGACGGAGAAGAGCAAGCTCAGTAACACACAGGGAACAGCAGCAGAGACCTGGGGACCGACTGGGTGTCAAAGCAAAGGAGAGGCCCTTGGGGTACATCAGTCACCACAATGAGAAATACAAATTTAAGTTTAGGTATTTAACATGCTCAGTCAAGCTGCCTGAGGGGTGCTGAGGAGGTGTCCTTTGGTCAGCTGGACACTGAGTCCTGGAAGAGAGCTCTGGACGCAGGAACAGAGCTGAGGGTTAGCAAACCAGAGGTGACGGGAGTGAATGGGAATGCGGCAAGGGTGGGTGAAGAGAGAACAAGCAGATCAGTAAATTACAGTTATGAGGAGAGAGAGGAAGTCATGACCAAGTTAAGAAAGAATCTAGACAATGTTTAGAGAAAAATGGTTGTGAAGGTGAAGAGAATAAAAGGGTATATCGGGAAGAACAACTGGGGTGGGAGGTTCATAGGCAGAAGGGGTGTGGATGTAAGCACGTTTTATACATGGTGCTAGTGAGGTGCCAGCAGAGACAGGAGGAGGTGAGGAAGGAGGGGAGGGAAGAGAGCCACGCACCCTGGGAGGGAGGGACACAGACCCTGAACACCAGGGGGGTCAGCACAAGTGCTGTGCTGTCTTGCAACAAGAGGAAAACTCTGAAAGGTCAAGGGTGGATGCAGGTGCAGCTAAGCTGGAGGGCCTGCTGGGAAACAGGGAGTTTCTGCCTGCTGTTTCTATTTTCTCTGTGAAATAGGAAACCTGATCCTATGCCAGGAATGCAGGCAAAGGCGGAGAACCGTGCAGTAGGTCTCAAATAGCCACTGCTGTTAACAGGAGAGAATGCTGACTAGGGAGACAGGAACTGGTGCGGGCAGCACTGAGCGTGCTTTCAGGGGAGAGTGTGCATATCTGGGAGCGCTCAGCTGTTTGGTGGTGGGTGATTTTTCTGTAGAGACCAACAATGAGCTACTTTAACTAAAATGGAAACTAAGCCTTAGGATTCTTTTTAAATTTAATAACACAATCTAATATATCCCTCATTTATGTTGTGAGCAGCAGGAGAACTGAACTCATACAAGGAAAGCGTACACGAGTAAGGGCACTGTGACTCACCTTGAGGTCTCTGTGAACGATCCGCTTTTGGTGGCAGTACTGGACTGCAGACACGATCTGGACAGGAGAGAGGCAAGGTCATTAATCGTCACTGCTGCAGACTCATGATCAAGATGAAAATACGCCCCTCATGGTCACATATGCAAAGCACTCAGTGGGCACTTCAACGGCTGTGTGGATCTCTAAAGATAATGTTCTTATGCTTTATACCTTTCAATCTGGAGAGACTGAGGGGTGAATGCAAGAAGACCGAGGTGAGGCTGTTCTTTCCAGTTTTTTAACTATAAAGTCTCCTCTCAGGCCCTGTCCCTCAACATGCTAGTTATTTCTAAGTGTGGTGCCAGGGCTCAGCAAACCAGTGGGACCCAGAGGGCCCTGGGTGCCCAGGGCCCAGAATTAGAAGGCTCTCCATGCCCACATCATCAGCTCAAAACCAAGCCAGCAGTTACGGATCCTCCATACTAGGTGTTTTATCAGGTTGGTTCTCCTTTGCCAGTCTGCTCTTGACAACACGCTCTTCCTTTTGGCTAATGTGGGTTCAAGGACAGCAAAAATGACTTCACCTCTCTAATGATCAGTGCCCTCTTTCTTAAAATGGAAGAATGAATGCTGTAATGTATATGAACTACGAACTATGAAAACTATTATGTGCTTTATCAATAAGAATCCCTCCTACACTTAGCAAATAACATCCTTTCATTCAGCCGACTTTTGATTACTCCTGGGATTAGCACTGCTATTATTACTATCATTTTCAGCTGCACAGTGCAGCTTGTAGGATCCTTGTTTCCCAGCCCAAGGGATTGAACCTGGGCCCTCAGCTGTGACGGTGCTGAGTCCCAAACACTGGACCGCCAGGGAATTCCCTGATTGGCACTGTTAAATAACTGCTCTACAAATTTCACACTTACTACCAACTTTTAAGACTCTTTTTCTAAAACTTTATAAGCTTTAATAAAGTTTTATATGATTATAAAAATTTTAGGAAATACAGAAAGTACATTCAAGAATATGCTTTTATAGCCATCAAACAGAGACGACATTTCCTGTTATTCTGGTATATTTGCCTCAAGTCTTTACTTTGGTATTATGTATGTGTACTTAAATATATATGTACTTAAATATGTATGTACGTACATACAAAACTGGGGGCTATAATGAAAATACTGCTTGTTTCTCCAAATCATCAACTTTCAGTTGTAAGCAATATGCACCTAACTATACTGGACACAAAAACTCAGAAAGGGCTGATCTACTGGTTAATACTGGTTCAAAATAAGCAGTAAGGATAAGGTGGGCTGGGGTTGGGAATGATGCCAGAATCAAGGCTTCACTAAGCAGCTTCCTACTTTATAAAGTGAATACGCAGAAGATCAGACCCACTCACAGTCACCTTCTACTGCTAAGTCACTTCAGTCGTGTCCGACTCTGTGCGATCCCATCCCTGGGATTCTCCAGGCAAGAACACTGGAGTGGGTTGCCATTTCCTTCTCGGATGCATAAAAGTGAAAAGTGAAAGTGAAGTCGCTCAGTCATGTCTGACTCTTCGTGACCCCATGGACTGCAGCCTACCAGGCTCCTCTGTCCATGGAATTTTCCAGGCAAGAGTACTGGAGTGGGGTGCCATTGCCTTCTCCGCACAGTCACCTAGAGGCACACAAATCCCAAGGCCAAGACACCGATTCAAGAGCATCTGTTAGCAATGACGTTGCTCCATTCTGTCAACATGAAAACTGGGAAAGTGACATAGATTTGTTTCCCCAAAGTAACAGGTTTACTCCTGAGGACACAATTTTATCTTACTTCTGCCTGATCCAATTTTCCCTGTCCCTTCGCCCCCACCCCCTCAGTCAGTCATAGGTTACTTTCAAATTCTACTTTTGAACCAGATTTGACACTTTCCTACCATTTCTCAAAGAGAATTTCTCTTCTTTTACCTCTAAACAGCTCAAATGCCACAACTTGGAAGTACTCAACTTTAAATTAATGCCTTTTCACATTCTGCTTTTAATATAAAAGTAGTTATTTCTATGGAAGGCTGAGAACCTAGGTTGAGTCCCAGGTTAAAATAAGAATGCAAGCCTAATTCACTTCTAGTCACACATGAAAAAGTAGAGGTAACAACACAAGCAACCCATCAAGGAAGGGCGAGGAAAGAAGGTGGAGCCAGCAATCTATTCTTCTTTGAGAAGAATAACAGGTAAGCCATGAAACTGAAACAGCATAAACAGTGACTAGGATGAGCGGGGCGAAGGAGGCGGGAAGAGGAAAGACCATCTGCTGATGAACATGGGAAGAAGGGCCTCTTTCTGACAGAAAGCAGATGAAGCACCGTGTACTCTGTGTGTGGCATACCTTTGTCTCCACTGTCAACAGGAAAATCTTCTATTTAGTCAAAGTAATGAGGACTTATGTTTCTGGATCCTCCAATAAAACAACAACAACAACAAACCTTTTGGAAAGTATGGCAATTAGAAAAGTGGAGGAACCAACATCATGCCTGACCTTTCCAGATTTTACATGAGCGAACTTAAGGAAACACTATGGCAAGGAGAAAAGATTACATTAATTATAAGCACTGTAAATCAAGTCATTAACTGTAAAAGCACATAAACTATCTTTCCTAGACCAACTAATAGATTCCTCAACTACATGCTTCATAATTTGTGCTGGAAATCTTTAAGATAAAAAGTTGTGTGACAGGACTTCCCTGGCACAGTGGGTGGGAATCTGCCTGCCAATATAGAAGACACAGGTTCGATCACTGGTCCGGGAAAATCCCACATGCTGTGGAGCAATTAAGCTCCTGCGCCACAACTACTGAGACGGCAAGCCTGCAGCCTGTGCTCTGCAAAGCAGCAGCCCGAGCACCACGAGGAAGAGAAGCCCCGTTCACCACAACTAGAGAAGGAAAGCCCAAGCAAAGCAATGAAGACCCAGCATGGTCAAAAAAATAAAAAAGTGATAAATGTCCAAGTCCCCTTGACAAGTCAGATCCTACCTGGGAGATGGGTAGAGAAGGAAGAAGAGAGGAGCCAGAGATCTAAGCACCACACTGCTTCCCTGGAGAAGGTCCAGGCTCACATCTGATATGAGGGCTGGCAGGAGCCCTTTCCTCACAGTCAATAAATCACACTCACATAAACACTTGCAAGTCACACTCATCTGAGCGGGAAGGAATTCCAGTTTTATGAGGCAAAAAAATCTTGATTTTCAGGTGGCAAATTTATAAAAATTAAGAGTGTAGATATGGAAAGGGCCAAACAGGCTTGTTTTGTAACAAAGAGAAATTTGAGCTCCCTTCCATAGACCACAGAATAAAGTGATATCAAAACTGGAAAGGACTTCAGAATTAATCAAGTAAAACTTCCTCTTTTTATAGCTAGAAAAACTGAGGATCAGAAAAGTTAAATGATGGTCAAAGTCTGATATGTAACAGGTTTTAATTCAAAGTATCATTAGGATGTCTTAAGATTTTAAAAGTAAATTTAAGCAACAGCAAAAGTTAAGACACTTATTTATAAGTCCTTAACTGTAAACACTAGACTAAGCAAATAAAAATCTTGAAAATCAGTTAAACCTGCTTTTATAAATACTGTGAAACCCTTAAAGACTCCTACCCATACTTCCACTTTAACAACCTTACATGTGAATAAAACAAATTTAAGTTTCTGAAAGAAATGAGGCTATACTGCTATTTACATACAGAACTTCAAACTATGGGAGGATAGTTTAAAAGTAATAAAGTACCTGCTCCTTCCTTTTATCTGAATCTGAGGTGGGCAATTATGGCCCGTAGGCTGAATATGGCCCACCACTCGTTTTTGCCAAAAAAAGTATTGTTGGCAACACAATCATATGAGTGTATTCATCCAGATGTTGTTGTCTAAGCTGCTTCTATGCTACAACAGCAGAATTAAATAGTTGTGAAAGACTGTATGGCTTATAAACCCTAAAATTTACTATCTGGCCCTTTACAGAAAGAGTTTGCTGATGCCTACTCTAAGACCACACCATAACTGTTAAGAATTTTAGTTTGGAATCACAGGTCCTGACTCTGAACCAATGGAAGGTCTGCTATTTGCCAGGCATCACATTTTGGGCAAATTATATAATCTTCCTGTGCCTCAGTTTCCTTATCTTTAACAAATTAGCACAATGATCTTTTGGGTTTCCCTGGTGGCTCAGAGGTTAAAGCATCTGCCTGCAATGCAGAAGACCCGGGTCAGTCCCTGGGTCGGGAAGATCCGCTGGAGAAGGAAATGGCAACCCACTCCAGTATTCTTGCCAGGGGAATCCCATGGACAGAGGAGCCTGGTGGGCCACAGTCCATGGGGCTGCAAAGAGTTGGAAACGAATTGAGCGACTTCACTTAGTAACGATGATCTTTACTCACAAGGCTGCTGCAAGATTTACATTAATGGAGGTAAAGGACTTCATCCAATATTAGCGGATAAGGATCAATCAATAGTTACCTTTATTAGAGACTTAGATCACATTTATGCTCAAAACCTATATATTAAAATCAGTCTCTTTAAGGCAATGGGCAGAGACAAAGCAAGAAGATAAGTTGTTAATTCACAGGTTACGTTCTGTTTGGTTCTGGCTTATGTAAGACAAAACCGATAATGAATTTTTAGATTGTAACACTTTTTGCTAAAAATTGAAAACCGTTTTAAATAATGCAATCACAAATGCTCAAAGACTCATTTTTTAAGGATCAACTGTCAAAAAACTAAGGTTAAGAGTCGGACTATAATTCCAATTACAAAGCTAGAAATAGAACTCATAGCCACCTTTAGCACAGTGCTTTAGGCATGAAAGCACTTATTAAATTAATAAATTTTGTTGCATTGAACTGAACGGCTAACTCCTGCTCCATCCAACAGGCCTTATGATATTTACAGAGGCAAACACTTGGGTGCTTCAGGGTTTTAGCCCGATAATGTTATTTAATCAATAAACTAAACGTGCAACAATCCATACCTGTCTAAATTTAGCTCTTGCTTCTTTTTCCTTCATTCTTCCATGTGCAACCAAATAGTCAAACACTTCACCTATAATTGAGAAAAATAAAAGTAAGCAGAAGTCCTATTTCTGGGCATTAACTTTCCCATAAATTAAAGATGCTTCACTTTTAGCAATGCTGTAATTTTAATTTTTAAAATATAGTTATGAAGATAAACAGAAATATGTGGAATTTGAACTAACCCAGTCTTAACTATAGGACAAGTTTACTGATAAAATCTTTTAAGTTATAGAAAAGCCTTAACATTAAATTCTCATATATTTCAATTATGATACTTTTACTTTAAAGGTTTTGTTTCCAGTATGGTTTAGTAAAAACTTGGAAATGAAAATTGAAAGTTAAAATGGAAATATTATGTGTGTTCAAAGAAGGTGTTTTCACTAAAGGATTATGACAAAAAAGCATTTCCTAAATTCATTCATGCAACAAATAATTACTGAGAGTATACTAACTGCTGAGAACTGTTCTTGGCTCTGGGGAAATACGCAAGTGAACAAAGTCCTTCTTCTCCTCATGGAGTTTACATTCCAGGAGGGGGTAGACAGATAATAAGCAAATAAATGAATATACAGTGTATCAGATGATAAAACGTACTGTGGAGCAAAATCAGGGGAAAGAAACAGGGTGTGTGCGCGTTTGTGTGCGTGCATGTACACGTGTAAGCACTGTGCTGACTACTGTAAGGGAGTGCATACTGTAGTCAACAGTCAACTAAAACATTTTGATACTTAAAAAGCTTAGTTTCAGAACTTAAGTATTTCTGAGGAAAAGGTTATTCTGAACTGTACATTGGTATCTCTGACTTTTGAACTTTCAGCCCTAACTCTGAATAAATTTTAATAAATGAGCGTAAATATTTTCAAGTTATTACCGATTGCATCATCTTTTAAAAGGAATTACATATTGTTACACTACACAATACATTTAACTATGGTGAATTATAAAATTAAATGTCAGTATTTTCTCCAAGAATGACATTCTATCTGCAGAGTAAAAAAATATGTCAAAACAAGTGGTTAAAAAGTGAAAAAACAAAGATGTGTGCATACCACATGGTACAGTTTTGACTTAAAAAAAAACTTATGGATTAAACCCAGTAGTTGTACAGTCACACAGATAACGTCAATATAATTTTAAAATATTTTAGAATTCCAATGCAATGTAAACCTGTTAAGAGATTTTGGAGCCATAAAGTCATACTCACAATCACTGTTATAAACCAGACATACAACCCAGATTTCCAACCCCCCTTATTAAAAATGCATGAGCAACCAGGGTAAGTAACTAAATTAAACATCTCTGCATGATATTATTTACTAGTAGAAAAAACAGCAAACAGTGGTTCTCCCCACTCATGTCAAGACAATTCAGAAAGCCCTTGGTTCAGGTCCCGTCACTATAACCAGTGATGAAACCATGGGCACCAGACCAACTTTTCAGAGGTTCATCTGTAAAAACTAGGCAGTTGCCCTGGATGACTTTCTGAGAATCTTTCCAATTGTAAAATTCTATGATTCTATAAAACTGAAAAATAAGAGGCTAGATGGAGAAGGCAATGGCACCCCACTCCAGTACTCTTGCCTGGAAAAATCCCATGGACAGAGGAGCCTGGTAGGCTGCAGTCCATGGGGTCACGAAGAGTCAGACAAGACTGAGAGGCTTCACTTTCACTTTTCACTTTTATGCATCGGAGAAGGAAATGGCAACCCACTCCAGTGTTCCTGCCTGGAGAATCCCAGGGATGGGATCGCACAGAGTCGGACACGACTGAAGTGACTTAGCAGTAGCAGGAGTAGGTAGCCAATTTAATGAAACTTTTGTTGTTCAAATTGACAAACGTATCAACAATAAACTGCTGCCTTGCAGACAGAAGGTGCTTTGTTGAGCTGATTTAAACAGACGGCCCAAGCCAATAAACCACCACTGATCAGTGCTGTTGTAATGTTAAGCAGCGGCATTGAGCCCTCAGAGGAGGACTGTGCGGCCATGTCCACTGAGCAGCTCAGAGACATGCAACTTATAAGGTCACACTGCCAGTGAGGGGCACTGGCTAGACTGACTCCATGTTTGTCTTTGCCAGAGCCCGTCCTCTCGGGATGGACACTTCTCCAACACAGAGCAACTGCTATGACCCTGTGACCTAAAATAGATGAAATAGGAAGCCATGACTGACTGACCAATCAGGAGAGGCTATGTGGTATTGGAAGGCTGGGGCTTCAGGCCTGGCAACATGACCACGGGGATATTTCCTAGCCTCCATCTCCTCACTCACTGCCTGGCCACATCATGGACCCATTATGAAAGTCAAAGGAGATCAAGTAAGGAGAAAAAGCACTAGTACACTGTAGAGGCTCCACAAAGGAGAAGATTACGAACTGTAAGATGAGTAGAAAGCACTGGAACGCCATATAGATTTATGGTTCTACAATTAACCTTCAGCTCTTCCTACTACTCCACTGTGAAAATCCCAACTAAAATCTCAAACCACACACTTAAAATACAAAGCACACAACTAACAATGAATTGCTGCTGCTGCTACTGCTAAGTCGCTTTAGTCGTGTCCAACTCTGCGCGACCCCACAGATGACAACCCACCAGGCTCCTCCGTCCCTGGGATTCTCCAGGCAAGAATACTGGAGTGGGTTGCCATTTCCTTCTCCAATGCATACATGCATGCCAAGTCGCTTCAGTTGTGTCCGACTCTGTGCAACCCTATGGACAGCAGCCCACCAGGCTCCTCTGTCCACAGGATTCTCTAGGCAAGAATACTGGAGTGGGTTGCCATTTCCTTCTCCAAATAATGAATTAGGAGTATGAAAAAGTGGTGTCAGGGGTGTGCCTGCTCTGCCCAGAACAGATTTACAATCTTTTATTTAGTGGTCAACACATCACAATGAGGCTGTGATTCAACTTTCTGTCTCCAGGTTTTACATTCTGGACCAAAGGGCTTGTTAAACAAAATAAAACTCTACTATAATCAAATACAATTAAATCTATACTGTGGAGTTAAACAGAACATATCTCCAGTAGTTTAAAGTTTCATTCATTCAACTCAATTCTTATTTACTCAGAGTCTGCTCTGTGCCAGGCACTGTGTTAGAGGCAGGGAAAAGACAAAGACAAACAACAAAGCTCCTGCCTCCACAACATTCACGCGTGGTCCAAAACCTAGCACAGCCTAGCCATGACCTTAAAATAGGAATCTCTGCAAAAGAGAACAGCTATATACATTCATTTCATAAAAATTTCTACATTTATATATCCTTAGAGGCAAATTACTACTCTTTAATCTTGAAGGAAATCTAATTGTATACACTGTGACCACCATTTCTGGCCTTGGGAAACAACAGGCACCACTGACGTAAAAATCTGATAAAGAAATCCATCCAGCATGCAGTACACATTTATTTCAAATAGGCTAATACATTGATGCTTTTGAAAATTCAAGTACTGGAATAAAAAAATGGGTTATAAACAATGGAATATTACTCTGCTTTAATAGGGAAGGAAATTTTGACACATGCTACAACATGGATAAACCTTAAGGACATTGTAAGTGACACAGGAGGTCACAAAAAAGACAAATACTGTGTTATTCCACTCATATGAAGTCCCTAGAGTAGTCAAATTCATACAGACAGCAGAATGGTGGTTGTCAGGGGCTGCAAGGAGGGAGGATAGGGAATTATTGTTTAATAGGGACAGTTTCATTTTGGGAAAATGAAAAAGTTCTGGAGATGGATGATGGTATTGGTTAACAATGTGAATATACTTAATGCCACAGAACTGTACACCTGAAATGGTTAAAATGGTAAACTTTATGTTATACCATAAAAAAATCCAACTATTTGCATATAATCAATTAATGATGGTAACAATGAAATGCTTAACAGTAACCCACTGAACTGCTAGCAATCAGCTTTTCTGATTCTCATCCTAGCGTATTATGACTCTGAAGGTTAAATGAAACTCTATCAATTATCCATATGGGCAGTGTGGGTGCATATTCTTCTAAAACGGAGGGATGAAAGAAAAACAATTTATAAATGCCTTACCTCCACTTGCATACTCCATGATTAGGTAGAGTGTTTTGTCAGTTTCAATGACTTCGAATAACTTCACTATGAGAGGAGAGAAGATACAGGAGAAAAAGAAACAAATGTCTGTATGTACATACCATATACATATAAACTAACTACAAAAAGTTAACTTTTTCCCTATTAATATATGGCCCTCTTAAAAAAATGATTTTAGGAAACTTTATATTACAACAGCAGAAAAGATTTTATGAAAACATGGACGTCCATAAGAATAAACATTATTTCTGGGTTCTCAAACACTGTAACTTCAGGATGCACTCAGCAGTTTATCTGCTCTCATTTCATGCTCCTGTAGTCTGTCTGTACCTATCCTACTCCTATATGTTCAAGTTCAATTCACCTGTCATTGTGGCTTTAAGGATACACAGAATTCCACTTGAGACTTCTGTTGCTTAAGAAATTTATCACAATTCTCAGAGAAAAAGATTCCCTTCTTTTTTAATGATGTACGTTTTATTTTTTATTTTTATTTGTCTGAGCCACGCAGCATGCAGAATCTTAGTTCTCTCACCAGGGATCTGACCGGGGATCCAACCTGGTCCCTGTCAGTGAGCATGCAGCGTCCTAACCACCAAACTACCAGGGAATTCCTAAGATCACTATCTCCTGTATCTATTTTGTTAATACATATGTTACAATTAAATTCAGCAAAAAGGAGAGCAGTGAGGGAGAATGCTAATCTCTTCTATTGTGGGTTATTTTCTGATGCTTTAATACAGAGTATTAAATCAGATCAGTAGCTTGCACAGTATTTGATGTGTTTGTCAAACTGGTGAATTAAAACTGTCACATTTCTAAGATGGCATATGTTCAGGTTGTTAAGAAAAATTATTTAAATAAATTTAAGACATATGCTGGTAAACCATCAACATATTAATAAATTCTGTAATTCCAATGCAGGGGGAATTCCCTGGCAGTCCAGGGGTTAGGACTCTGTGCTTTCACTGCAGGGGGCCTGGGTTTGATCCCTGGTTGGGAAGCTAAGACCTGGCAAGCCAAAGATAAATTAAAATATAAAATTCCAATGCAAATATTGGCTCTTCTAGGAAAACTATTCTAATCCAATGGGAATTTAAATTTTAGAAATTTGTATTTTCAAAGATATGTCATTTAGTAGTAAGTATAGGGAACTTTAATCAGGGTACCACTTAAGAAAAAACAAAACAAATAGGTTTAAGTGAGCTGGTTCTTGGCAGTGTATTTGTGGTGGGAAGTTGAAATTTGAAATCTAGAGTTGGTTAGCTAACCTCAAACAGCTGAAATAAAATATAAAGGCTTTCTTTTCACTATTATATCCCTTGTTATTTTCTCCAACCATGTCACAGTTCACTGATTCTAAGATATGTATTTTTTCACATTTTAATTAACATCACTGATAAAGGGATAATGGCTTGGTAGCATTTTCTTAACAGTACCTGAACACAATAATGCCTTTTAAATGATGGTGGCTCAGATCAGATGAAATAGGGTGTAAGTTTTTTCCATCCTGTGGTTCCATTTTATTTTTCTATTCTTGTGCTTCAAGAAGTCTTGGTAAGATATCCCTAACACCAAAGTTATCACACTCCACTTCCTTGAACTGATTTTGATAGTAAGCTGATACAATTGGTTGTCTTATGAGCTATTTCACTCAAATGTTTTTAGATTGTAGGACCTATTACTATATAAGAAAGTAGTTGTATTATTTTAAAAGATCTGCATTATGCATGGAATCAAAAATTTTCACTGAGGTGTGTACACAGGGTCAGCTTTCATCTTGTTCCTACAACTACGATGAGGGCAGGACCATGACCCACCCTCATCTTTAGACACACCTCACTGCATAAAGCACAGAGGACACAGAAAGCAGGTCTGTACAGTGTAAAACAATTCATGCCAAAAAACTCTATTAGATAGCAAGTGCCATGTATCTTTTTTTTTTATGGCTGCCCTGAGCAGCATGTGGGATCTTAGTTCTCTGACCTGGGATCGAACCTGTGCCCCCTGCACTGGAAGCATGGAGTCCTAACCACTGGACTGACAAGAAATTCCCTTTTATTTTTTAAAATATGTTTCAATACACCATTATTTTCTTAGGAATACAGCTAGAGCAAAAAACACCTTTGAAAACTTTAGCTTACTGTAATTCCTTCTATCTAAAATTTAGGTACAAGTATGACATTTTGATATATTAAAATTTAGAAAATTACAATCTGATTACAGATGTTTCTACTAAATTAAAGCTTTACATTTGAATGTTTAATATCTAATCTTTTAACCTATCTTTAGCAATTTCAAAAAGTTAACAGAAATGATCAACTATACACACAAACACACACACACACACACACACACACACACACACACATATATTCTAAAAGTGTACCTGGAATGGGAGAAGGGAAGAAATCTCCTGTCACTTCTGGAATATATGTTTAGCTTTATGAAAAAGTTTCAAGAATGCATTTAGACCCAAAAGTATTTAAGAAAGCAGAAAGTACCTATGTTTGGATGATTTAAAATCTTCATTATTCTCACTTCTCTGAAGAGCTAAAAAACAAACACACACACAATCCCCCCAACACAGGTTATTAAACATTATATTCCACAGTAGCAATGTAAATTAAATTTTTCTCTTAGATAACTGATTCACTGATAATGTTTAGTAGTCCACATCTAAGACATGGAAATCCAGGGTAATTATGACGTAGTTTTGTTGTCTAATACTAAATGCGTCAATTTTAATGCTCCGATACTAATGCGTCAATTTTATCGTATGAAAAAGCAGAGTTCCTGGAGGAGGAGGATATTTTGCTATTGTGAATTATACTTTGATTTATATTTTGCTATCTTGAACACAGAAATCAGATTTAAGCAGGAGTAGTTTGTTATTAGACTTAGTCCGATTCAGTATCTATCGAGGAATTGTAATTCTGCAAATAAAATCTTGTACAGTCCCAATGAACTGCATCTTGAGTGTATTAGATTGATAATTCCAAGTAATTCTATAAGGCTTTAAATAAAACCACTTCAAGTGGTTTTATTTAACTGCCTAGCCATCACACAGAATAAGGCAGAATATTAAACTGTTGCTGTACAAACATGCTGTGAATTCAGAGGCGGGTCACAGCATCATGGTCTGGGCTAATATGAGATCTCATAAAATAATAGAATTTTAGAGGCCATCCTAGACACCCTCTTGCAAACCAGTGGAAACCAGAAAAAGAGAGGAAAGGTCTTCCAAGGCTCTCCTATCTCTCTACGGGGAATGTGGTCAGAACCAGTCTCCTAGCACCTGGGGCATCGCAGCCTGTAGGAGGCAAGGCTGGAGAGCGGCTGCCTGTGGGATGAGGAAGCTGGGATCTTCCCGGTGCTTGTCTCTGTCCCCCAGGTCTAAAGGAGAAATGAAATCAGCAACTGACAGGCACGGAGGCAGCTGAAAGGCATGGAGGCACAGTATCTGACCCACAAACAGCTCAGAGCTTAAAAACATGGAATCAAGATGAACAGCCTTTCTGTCTACAATACTGGGCTTCCCAGGTGGTGCAGTGGTAAAGAATCTGCCTGCCTGCCAAATAGGAGACACAAGAGACGTGGGTCTGATCCCTGGGTTAGGAAGATTCCCCTGGAGAAGGAAATGACAACCCACTGCAGTATTCTTGCCTGGGAAACCCCATGGACACAGGAGCCTGGCAGGCTATACAGTCCATAGGGTTGCAAAGAATCGGACACGGCTGAAGTGACTAAACCACCACCACCTATAATACTGGATCATCCACTAAAGGCTTGGGCTCTTTCTTCATTTCCTGTGTTAAGCAAACAGAGGAATCTTGTTTTCGCAATTCATTATAGCTGGACTTGTACCTATAATTTGAACCTCCCAGTTATCTCTACAACTGTTAAATTACAAGAGTGACAAGTTGGCTATCATGCTAACTCAGCTCAGGACACTGTGTTTAGAATGAAACCCTGACCATGGCCACGGCAGACTGCTTATGCTTTCAGCCTCAACTCCAGGCACTCTGATTTCCCCCCAGAACATACTAACTCTTCCTTTCCTTACAATATTTTCTCCTTTTCCTCCTTCAAGTCTCAGGCAGATTCTCTGAAAACCTTATCTAAGTGGGTCTCTGTTGTTTTACATCACAGTGCTTCTTTCCCAGAATGTCTTTCACGTTGTGATAATACATTGTGTTTATCAGTTCGTTTTCGCCGCCTCATCTACAGGGAGTGTTGTCTGCCTCCTGTCACCAGTGGAACCTCGAAACCCAGCCTGGCACACAACAGGAACTCATTTGTTTGATAAATGCCTGCAAGAAAGTACTGACTACCAAGAAGTGTGGTTTGAGCCAGTCTCTTTAGCATTCTAATGACCACGCTGCTTTTAGATCCTGAGTAGCAGAACGCCTATGACAGGGTTGTCACAGTTCTGCTGGCAAAAGAGGCCAAATAAAAACAACTTACATCCTACTAGCAGCACAGCACTACAACATCAGAACCAAAGAGCAGGAGAAAGACAGAGTCCTGCAGGGACCCAAGGGACAGAGAGCTTACTTCTGCCTGCGATGATAGGCACCACGGAGGTAACTGGATTTATGCAGTTCAAAATGGGCTGGTGATCTGAGCAAGACAGGGAGGTGCAACCAATGAAGACAATTTCAAGAAGACCAGGTGCTCCATCTGGCAGAGCAGTGGGTTTCCAAGTGTGGACTTTAAGCCACCAGCTTCAGAACATTAGGATATCTATGCAAACTGTAGGTTCCTGGGTTCTACCTATCACTAGATCTGAAATGAGCTTTAAGAATTTTACATATCAACCAGCACCCCTCGCGAGGTGCTTTTAAAACAGGTCCACAAATACTTTGACAATCCTCTTCTCAAAAGGTAGAACTTAATATCCTCCCTTTCAGTGTGGACTGCACTTAGTGACTTGCTTTTCATGAAGAGAGGAAAGCAGAGCGATAGGGAGGGGACTTCCAGAGACTAAGCTGTAAAGGCACTGGGACTCATTCCTTGCTCTCACAGATCACTGACATGCATGTCGTAAGGACATTAAGTACCTTAATGGACAGGCCCAGGCAGCAAGGAAATGAGGACTCACACCTGCGGCTGGTAAGGAACAGTAGGCCCTAGACAAAAGCCAGCTGATAGGGCCTTCTAGAAGCTGATGTACCAGCCCCAATCAAACCTTTGGGCGCCTGCAGCTGTGGCTCTTCCCCAAAATATCTTGAAAGCATCTGAGTCAGAATCATCCAACTAAATTAATTACCCTCAAACAGATAACTCAAAGAAACTGAGATAACACAGGTTCTAAGTTGCTAAGTTTTAGAGTAATTTTTCGGGAGTAGTAGTAGGTAATACACTAGAGGAAACACACTGAAGTTTGAAAACCAAACCTGCATGCAGGTCAGGAAGCAACAGTTAGAACCGGACTTGGAACAGCAGACTGGCTCCAAACTGGAAAAGGAGTCAAGGCTGTGTGTTGCCGCCCGCTCGTTTAACTTACATGCGGAGCGCATCACGAGAGACGCCGGGCTGGAGGAAGCACAAGCTGGAGTCAAGACTGCCGGGAGAAACATCGATAACCTCAGATACGCATATGACACCACCCGTACGGCAGAAAGTGAAGAGGAACTAAAGAGCCTCTTGATGAAGGTGAGAGAGAAGAGTGGAAAAGTTGGCTTAAAACTCAACGTTCAAACAACTAAGATCATGGCATCCAGTCCCATCACTTCATGGCAAACAGCGAAACAAAGCCAACAGTGATGGACTTTATCTTTTTGGGGCTTCAAAAATCACTGCAGATGGTGACTGCAGCCATGAAATTAAAAGATGCTTGCTCCCTGGAAGAAAAGCTATGACCAACCTAGACAGCATATTAAAAAGCAGACACATTACTTTGCCAACAAAGATCCGTCTAGTCAAAGCTATGGTTTTTCCTGTAGTCATGCTATAAAAAAAGCTGAGTGCCAAAGAATTGATGCTTTTGAACTGTGGTGTTGGAGAAGACTTTTGAGTGTCCCTTGGACTGCAAGGAGATCCAACCAGTCAGTTCTAAAGGAAATCAGTCCTGAATATTCACTGGAAGGACTGGTGCTGAAACTGAAGCTCTAGTACTTAAGACACCTGATGTGAATAACTGACTCACTGGAAAAGACCCTGATGCTGGGAAAGATTGAAGGCAGGAGGAGAAGGGGACGATAGAGGATGAGATGGCTGGATGGCATCACCGACTCAATGGACATGAGTATCAGCAAGCTTCGGGTGTTGGTGATGGACAGGGAGGACTGGTGTGCTGCCGTCCCTGGGGTTGCAAAGAGTCGGACACGACTGAGCAACTGAACTGAGTTACACACAGCAGAGGCCACACCAAGGGATGTGTTGTGAAAACACACAGGATAGGTGAGTGGGACCAGACACAGGGATGAAAAGTACGTTTCCTTCCGTAGGCAGATAGAGTAGCCAAAGGTCTCCCAGTTGGACAGTGTCAGGGTACCACCAAATAACCTTATGTGTTTACCTCTGTCAGCATTACGTATCAAGCAGAAACTAGAATCAACTCTGTACCAACTTAATCAAAGGGGGTGGGGAAAGGAGGCATGAAGCTGATAGCTGTCCAGTGTCACCTGTGTCTGGGGTTCAGCGCTAGATGCTCCACAGCTGTGATCCTATCTAACTGAAGTTTCACAACTCTGTCAGGTGACTATGATCATCTCCAATGCACAGGAAAGGAGGACTGAGAAAGTTAAGAAACCAGTCCAAGTTTTCCCAGCTAACACATGCCAGTGCTCAGAGTCTGAGTTGTCTGACTCCAAAGTCCTAACTCATCTCATGATTCCAAATAACCACCTTTGAAATGTACAAGTAAAACAATGGATACGTTACAAGTTGGCAATACAGAAAACTCCAGAGCAACAGGTGGGTACTGCACAGAATTTTTTTTAAAGTTGACAATTTGTGTATGTGATTAACATGCCAGAGATCTCATTGTTATCAACTGTGAACCTGATGGTTGAAGATAAATTTGGGTAGAAATAATTTGTTGAAAACATGAACATTAAGGAAAGACCTCACTAGGATAGTACAATATTTTTTTTTAAGTTTTGCTACTATAAAAGGACATTTAAATAAGAAGTTTACCGATTTCTACTACCTTACTTCTCTACATTCCTTTCAACCTTATGCAGATGCTAGTTGTAAAAAATAAAATGAAGTAACACAGAAATGTGTAAAGTGAAAGAATTCTCCTCTCTTCATTAATCTCCATCTTCTACACTAGCAGTCACCAACCTTTCTGGCACCAGAGGCCAGTTTTGTGGAAGACAAGTTTTCCATGGACGTTGGGGTGGGGATTGTTTCAGGAGGACTCAAGCACATTACACTTATCATGCACTTCATTTCTATTATTACTACATCAGCTCCACCTCAGACCAGCAGGCACTAGATCTCAGAGTCTGGGGACCCCTGCTCTACACATCTTCCCATTTTTATGTCCTGTAGGAACTGGCAAACAGGAGGAGAACAAACATTTCTGAAGGCAAAGACCTGAA